AGAGGCCCCCAGGAGGCCCAACAGGGCCAAATCGCGCCAAACATTTGGGATCTTGCATATTTGATCTACCCCCCTTCCCCAATAGCGACGATCCTCTTCGACATTATGGTCTCCTCGATCCCGATGCTTTTCCCTCCCCCCCAATAGCGATCCTCGCTGTTCTGGGCCCCGCCCGCCGCTCGACATGATCTTGGGGGTCGTTGGGCAGCATTTGGTTGGTCATGCGGCGTCTTTCCTCGCCTCCTCCCGAACAGCGATCCTTTTATTCCGAAGGCCTTACGGCCGGTGCCGCCGACCCTGAAGAGGGACGGCGACGGCGACAACGACGGCGACAGCGACGGCGACGGCAACGGCGACGACGACGACGACGACTGCGACGGCAACCGCGACGGCGACGGCGACCGCGGCGACGACGACGACGACGACGGCGACGGCGGTGGCGATGGGGGCGGCGGCGGCTTGCCTCGCCTCCTCCCCAGCAGCGATCCTCTTCGATATTCGGTATTCCTGGAGGCCTGTTTTTGTTTAGTCTGGGCGATAACGCTCGTGATCGCCCCCGCCCCTCCCCCACCCCGATCACGTCACGCTGGCCCTCATGTCTCAAGGAATCTCCCAGGGTTTCCAGAGAATCTCAAGGGTTTCCCAGGAATTCGTCGTCGTCGTCGCTGTTGTCCGCGACCGGGTGGTGGAGGATGAGGAGAAGGAGGTGGAGGAGGAGGAGGAAACCAGATGGTTTCGAGGGTCCGTTCGAAGGATTTGTTTAGGGGATGTTTCGAGCGCAACGCTGATTCTTAAGCGAAACGCTTGGGCCATCTTGGAGGTCATCCGAGATCGCCCCGAAAAGATGCCTTACAAGAGCGCTTGGCGCATCCATTTGTTTCGAGGATGTCCCCGGCGAAACGCTCATTTTGGAGGTCCGCGAATTAGTTTAACGATTTCAATATCTCCATCGTTCGAGGATGTCTCAGGCGAAACGCCCATGTTCAGCAACATACGTCTTAAGGTACGACCCCCAACTTCACGATTTGACGAGGATGCCTCAGGCGAAACGCTCGAAATTCACCTTTCCTGACATGAGCGGGAAGCGCGTGAACGGGAAGAGTTGCGCAAGAACTTGCAGCATTATCGCGATCAAATGTCATACAGGCGAGCTCTCCGAACGGTCACAAGGGATACGTATGGATACGCTCCCCCCGAACGTTCACAAACAGATTCCTGAATATCCTCCCCACTCCCCGCATGAGGAGGACGACGGCGAAGACGACGACTGGGGAAGAAGGGAGACGGGGAGGGTGAGGAGGAGGAGGAGGAGGAGGAAGAGGAGGAGGAAGAGGAGGAGGAGGAGGAGGAGAAGGAGGAGTTGGAGGAGGGGAGGGAGGAGGAGGAGGAGGAGGAGGAGGAGGAGGAGGAGGAGAAGGAGCAGCAGCAGCAGCAGCAGCAGCAGAATCTCGAGATGTTCCGAGGAATTCCTTAATCCCCTTTTCCTCCTCTGCTCTCTCTTCCTTTTCCTTATCTTCCTCCTCCCGAGGGCCCGGGGGTTCGCAAAAGTCCCCGGGAGGCCGAAACCCGCCGCGATGTGATCGGGCGGGGCACCCACCCCCGATCACGCCCGTTGTCGCGGATACTTAAGAAAACAAATATTCCTGGCGCCGATGCCCTTTGCGGCGGCGCGCTCTCAGAAGCCCGGAGGGCTTATGAGAAGCCCCGCCGCCATCTGAGAAGGCCTGCGCCGCTCCCTTTGCGCCGCTCCCCTGGCGTCTTCTGAGATTGCCTGCGCCTTCTCACGGAGGAGGAGGAGGAGGAGGAGGAGGAGGAGGAGGAGGAGGAGGAGGAGGAGGAGGAGTTGGAGGAGGGGAGGGGAGGAGGAGGAGGAGGAGGAGGAGGAGGAGGAGGAGGAGGCGGAGCAGGAGGAGGAGGAGGAGGAGGAGTTGGAGGAGGGAGGAGGGGAGGGGGAGGAGGAGGAGGAGGAGGAGGAGGAGGGGAGGAGGAGGAGGAGGAGGAGGAGAGGAGGAGGAGGAGGAGGAGGAGGAGAGGAGGAGGAGGAGGGGGGGGGAAGGAGGAAGAGGAGCGCGGGGCCGCCGCGCCGCGTCCAGCTGCAGGGGCAACTAGCCGCGGCGGGGTGCCTGCACTCATGGCGCGAGGAGCGCCACGAGGAGGCGGAAGGTGAAGACGTAGGGCTCGACGAAGAGGGGGTCCATGAAGCCGTCGGAGACGTAGTGGTGCACAATAGTACTACCATCCCAGATTTGCGACAGAGCGCGCCATGGGCGGTCCTCGCTGCATGGCCAGATATCCCAGCCTCCTCGGCGGGAGGGCCTGCAGGTAGGGACGGCAGGCTGTCCCTACCTGCACATTGTGCGGCCATCCACCCTCGCGGGTTGTAAAGCTACGAGGGGGCGACGAGCGCGAGGTGCAAGTCCACGTTCGACCCGTTTGACCGCGTCAAGCTGTTTTTTTCGTGTGGCCGCATTGCCAGAAAGACCAGCGCAGGAAATGCCCAGCTGGCGCACAGTGCGGACCTCCCCAATGGAGCAGTGCGCGCCACACCTGCGACAGCAGTAAACTTGGTTGTTCAGGGACACGTCGCGACCCAAGTCAGCAAACACCGCTGCCGCGCCCTCAGCCATGGGCTTGGCGGGCCAGGAATCCTGCTGAGAAGCTGTTGGCCGTCCTTCGCTCGCCAACGCAGCCTCCACAGCAACGCAAGCACGTTGGTCACCACATAGTGTCCAAACGTCGCCACAGCTGCGAAAGTACTCGGCGTCGAGGGCGCGCGCCACACGCGACGGCCGACATTCACGATGAGAGCCTGTCTGCAGAGAGTCTAACGAGGCACCCGTAGTGGCCGTGACACTGCAGTGGACGCATCGATATTTGCCTAACGAAACCGAATGCGCAAGGACATGGCGCGAAATCGTGACGGGCACGGCATGCTCGCCTGGTGGCCGCGGAACCTCCACATCACGTCCCCAGGCCTTAAAGACAACAACTTGCAGCGCAGCCCAGGAAACAAACTGTAAAACCTTACGGTGCTGTCCCAGAGCAGCAGCGACGGCTTTCGCCACGGAGCCAGCCAGCGCATGGGAGGCGGCTCCACAGCGAGCGAAGTAGTCTGCCCACCCGTTGTCAATCCAGTCTCGCAACTCATAGGGGTCGGCACCAATGAGTTCATCCAAAGACTTGTGGGCTGGTGTCCACTTGAACGTCGGAGGGCGGCATAGGGTCCGTCGTCGGCAAGCCTCGAAGATGCCGCGCCAGGCGCGGGCATGCTTGGCCCGTCCTTGCGCGAGCTCAGGACGCCAGCGTTCGCCTTCCTGCGCCAGCGCCAGCAGGTCCGCCACGTATATATCCTCAAACATCATGGCCATGCGCCGAAGGGCCTCACCGGATAAGTGCTCCAAGGCCTTCGGGGGAATGCGCGTGGGGCTTGCAGCCGTACTCAGCGAGAACGAACGAATGGCCTGCCGCAGGTCATGGACCGTAATGCGGGGCAGCTCATCCCAATTGTCGGAGTCAGGAGGGAGCGCAATCGCCTCCAGCTCATGCGTCTCCCAGATGCGCCGCCATTCGTCCAACGTGCGGTCCGCCAGTACGTAGGGCTGGGCATCAGCAGCAGGAGCAACCATCTCTTGGCGTGCCCGCAGCATGGGCAGCCTTAGCTCCTCCACTAAAGGCCGCCTGTGCCCAACTGCGCCAGGCTGCCTCTGCCTCACGGCGGGCCGACGATGCGAACTCGTCTGCGCGGCCTGCATCGGCGTCAATCATGTCATCGAAGCCTGCCGCCACTAGCCCATCCAACCCCCGTAGAAAGAACTGGCGATAGCAGGGGTCAAGGTGGGAGAGGACCTTGTGCTCCGCCCCACTCGTGTTCAGGAAGCCAAGGATGTCGTAGAAGACCCGGACCGTCTTCTGAAATTGCTGTGGGGCTGGCGCCGAACAGACCGCCACCGCATTGAGTCGGCGGCAAAACCTTCGGGCTCGATCACGCTCAGCTCGTAGGTGATGCGCTCATCGGGCCGCAGTTGCCCACGCCCAGACGATGGTACCATGGTACAAGCGTCGCCTGAGTGGCATCCAGCGCAACTGCCGCCAAACCACCTTGGGGGGACCATGGTGCCCCACAAGACTGCGTGCTGCAGGGCCAACCTTGTCATGCCGCCCCGCGATCTCGTAGTCCAGGCCACCCAGGACGGCGTCCCAGAGCTGCTGCAGGACATCATCCGACCCGCCAGTGCCATCGAGCTTCAGACCATGGGTCCTGACTCGCTGTCGACGATACGGGCTCGTGCGTCCTTCGCACTCGCACGGAGGCTTCAACGACCTATCCTTCATACAGGGCTTGGTCTGGACATGGTCCGTGCCAGTGGCCCTGACAGACGTAGTGGCAGCACGGTGGAACAGCTTGTCTAGCTTGTGCCAGTGGTAGGGAAAGCGCGCACAGCCGACAGGAGGCACCGCGGGAAGAGGTCGTGGCTCCTCGGGAACACGGCACCAAGTCGGAGTGTCCGTACCATAGAGAGCCAGGCCCACAGGGTAGTGAGGCCGCGGGATGCACCCACAACCATAGATGACCTCTGGCTGGCGGGAGACATGGGAGACCAAGTTGCTGGCCACCACGAAGCAGTCAATGGTGGATACACCATTGGCGGCATGTGGAGGCCGTTGGCTGGAGGAGGGTGCCAGCCAAGGATTCAATCCAATCACCGATGTTGATGCTCTGGCCGTCAGCATTCCGGTCACCCCCGAGGATCCAATCAAGCCCGCGTGCATTCCAAGCCGCGACGCGTTGCGCCAAGGCCCACAGAATAGACAGGTTAGGGCCTGTGATGCCAATCCCTTGCACCAAGTATACACTTACGACGATCAGTCCTCCAGGCACACCCCACTGAACGTGAGCCGCCAGCGGAGGAGGAAGAGGAGGAGGAGGAGGAGGAGGAGGAAGAGGAGGAGGAGGAGGAGGAGGAGGAGGAGGAGGAGGGGGAATTTTTCCCCAGTCGCGCCGGCGATTCCCCCTCCAAACAGCGACCCTCGGTGCTCTGGGCCCCACACGCCGCGGCCGCCGCCGCGCCGTCGCATGGGATGCGCCACGCGGCGCCGGGCCCGTGCATGGCGGAGGATGTCCCGCTCGAGGCGCATCCCGGGGGAGGACCGGCCGGGAGTACAAAGGAAACCCTTCGAGATCGGGGCGTTGCATTTTTCTTTGCACCGGGCGTGTTCGCCCGTTTTCGGGCCCCGGGACCACCACCGATCGATCCGCCTCGAAGACTGATGCAAAAAGATGGGGTCTAGGACTCTGGTCGTGATTTTTCGCGATCTTGGAATTTGTTTGCAACGTCAGATCTCAGGGACCCCTCGAGGAAACGCAAACATGGATGAAGACGTATATGGATAGCGACGGGTCCCGCTTCCAGACCAAATGGGCCCGCTCTGTCGCCAGTTCAGCGGCAGTGGCGCCGCATCTCGAGGGTTACGTTCCCCGAGCCGTGGATCCGGCGCCCACGCGCCAGATCCACGGATCCCCAATACATGTTAGCGTGTGCTCGTTGGGGCGAAGGCGGGCCGGGGGAGGGCAAGGGCGGCCCCGACCTCGTCGCGCTGCGAACAAATCGCGGCAGGAGGTGCTCGACCATTTTCGGCCCCTGGGGTCCCTCGCCGGGCCCTGGGGCGGTCCAACAAAAACGCAGCTGACGCAACATAAGTCACACACCAAGCCGCTCACATCACGTAGCTAACACAACATATTAGCTTATATCACATAGGTTCCACAACACAGCTTGCACCACACAGCTCACACCGCAAAGCTTACCCAGCATTGCTTACATCACACAGCCTGCACAACATATACTGGAGAGGCCCTACGGCCGATGCCGCCGACCATGGAAGAGGACCCTCGTGATGCAGGAGGTGTTCGGATGTGTTCGGGAAGGTTGTAAGGCTCCCACGAGGTCTCCGAGCGTGCAGCGAGCGGTGTTCTGGGAGACCTTCAGGCCTCTGGGGAACTTTTTGGGGGCGTCTTGGGGGCCTCTTGGAGCTTTGTGGACGCCTCTCGGGGGGGGCCTCTTGGCGTCCTCGCGGGGCCTCCTGGGGGCGTCCTGGGAGCTCCTGGGGGCGACTTGGGGGCACCTTGGCGTCCTTTTGCGGGCCTCCTGGTGGCATCTTGGGAGCCTCCTGGGGGCTTTACGGGGGCTTCTGGACGGCCTCTTGGAGCTTTGTGGGAACTTCTCGGGGGCCTCCTGGGAGCGTCTTGGGGCGGTCAAGTCGAAATACCAGTTTGCGTGCGCGCTTTAGGCCTCTGTGGGTTTCCGGTCCCCCTTCCCCCCAAGGGATCAAAGGGACGTTCTTGGGACTTCTCTTGGATCTCCCTGGTTCCCTGTCCTTCCCCCCCCACGGGTGAAGAAGGTATCAAAGGGAAGGGGTTTTCCCTTACCAGGGGGGTAGTCTGACCCAGGACTTCCTGGTCCCTCTACCCTCGGAGGGGAAGGGATCAAAGGGAAGGGGCTTCCCTTACGACAAGAAGAGCAAGGGGGTGTAATCTGATCCAGGCCCCCCCGCGGAAACTCCCACCGTTCCCCCCGCCCCTGGGGGTGAAGGGAGTTGGTGTAATCTGATCCCCAGGACCCTCCCGGGACCTCCCTGGGGGTGACCCCGTGGTCCCTTTCCCGGGTGGGGAAGGGAAGGAGCTTCCTTTCGATTATATTTACGTTTGCGATCACGACCAGAGGAGGAGGGATGTGTAGTATGACTAGGGACCTCCCCTGGACCCCCTCCCAGGACCTCCCAGGACCTCGGCCAACCACAGAGAATTTGGGGAGTGAGGGTCTCTGGTTTTCGGGCCGCTCCTGATATCCAGGGCGGGGAACCTGTTCGTGGCCGAGGCTGACCGTGCCAGGAAGGCTCCTCCGCTAATGTTTCAGCGTTCTTATGGAAGCATACGACGGGTGCATGTGTGAGGAAGACGGATGGCGGCGGCGGAGGAGGACCAATTCGGGAGGGGGGGGGGTGCGGAGGAAAAGGGGAGGAGAAGGAGGGGATGACGAAGAGGGCGAGGAGGACGAAGAGGAGGAGGAGGAGGAGGAGGAGGAGGAGGAGGAGGAGCGTAGCAGCTCCTCCTGCCTGCCCCCCCCCCCCGCGGGCGGCGCGCGGAGGTGCCCGAGGCGCTGCTGCCGTTCGCCGCGCGGCTCTTCGCCCACTTCCCGGCGGTGATGCTCGCGCTGGGGCACCCGTTGCTGGGGACCGCGGCCTGGGCCTCCTCCTCCTCCTCCTCCTCCTCCTCCTCCTCCTCCTCCTCCCCCTCCTCCCCAGCTTCGCCACCCCGCCCCAGTGGAGCCCGCCAGGCAGGCCTGGAGCCGCCCTGAGTCTTCGGGTCCCCGCACCTCGTTTTTGTTGCTGTATTGCCTGTGTGTTTGCGTGCGTCAGGGGCAACGGTACGGGGGGGGATAGTCACAGGGGGTCATGCATCGACCCCCCCATCGCCCATGGATCGCCGAGAGGGGCCCGATAGCCCCCACCTGCCCTGGGGCAGATCGCTGATCTATCGGCGATGTATCGCCGATTCCAGGCCGATGTATCCCCCCCCCTGTGCCAAGCCCCTCGGTGTGTGGAGCAGCATGGGCCACATGTCGGATGAGATCTCGAAGGCGCAGCCTGGGAGCTCACATCTGAGCGGCCACGGCCGCCCCGCGCCAGCCGCCAGTCGGCCCGTCTCCTCACGGAGACGTCTCGCGCGTCCGTCCGTCCGTCCGTCCTTCCGTCCGTCCTGTTGTGTTTGGTTGTGGACGTAATTGTGGTAATGGTGGTTTGTGGTGGTGGCGGGGGGGGGGCGCTCGGGGCGATCGGAGGCGGAACAGACATGCGAATAAGAACAGACTGCATAACAACTATGAGCTTTCGACGGTCCGCGCGGACTTCTCGGATGTTGCTCGCTGGGCCCCACTGGCGGCGCCTCCGGCGCCGCCCCTGGCGCGCTCCGCGCGCCAGGCACGAGGCTGCAGCGCAGATCCAAGGAATCCGCGCGGACCATCGACGCATCGACAGTTTGTGTTTGTGTTGTTTTTTCTCGCTCTAGATGCCCGTCCCTCGTCGCCACGGCCGGATTGGCCGCGGAGTCTGGGTCAGATCGCGCCTTGAGAGAGTTCCACAGAGTAGCGCTATTGGTGTCCGACTGTTCCCCCCCAGGGCCTTCCTCCTCCTGGCGGCTCGGTTTCTGAGCGTTCCCGTGATTTGTCGCTTGATTTGCTTTGTTGTTGTTTGTTGTTGGCGTTTAACGCCATGTGAACTCGATATGGGCGCCCCATCACTGAGTGAACGTGCTATTTCATGTCCACCCGCCGGACCAACGTCTTCGGCGGTCGTGATACGTTTGCTTTACATGCTCCCGCATCACAGAGTGAATGTGGCATTCAATGTCCGCCCGTCCGCTTGGACGCCCAATAACTGAGTAAAGGTCTTGTTGTCGCATGCCCCGCCCGCCCGACTGGCGTTTTCGGAGGGCGCGGATTTCTGCACGAACGAAATGGGCACAGAAAGAATGGATACAATGCCCAACAGCGGATTTGGTTCATTTTGACCAGGACTCGCTGTCCACGCCGCCGCGGCCTGCGTCCATTCGAGACAGAAGGCCGCCTGCCAAGAAGCGGCCGCTGTCGGTTTGGGACAACATTTGTTGTTGGGCATTGTACCCATTCTTTCCGTACCCATTTCGGGCGTCCAAAATATTCTCACATGACACTATTCCAAGACAAAGTGACGGTTTCCTTTAAGGTCCCGCCCAGCCGAGAAGTTTAGATGTAGTTGCCCGCCCGATTGGACGCCCCATCCCTGAGTAATGGTGGCATTTGATACCTTGCCTGCCCGATCGGCGTCTTCGGTGATGGCGATCGTAGACCGAAGGTCGCCTGTCATTTTCCGCCCCCCCCCCTTCCCGCCGTGTGGGCGCCCGAGCACGGATCGCAGGCTCTGTGTAAGGAGCCAGCTCGCCCGACCGGCGGCGGTTGCGAGACCAACCAGTGTTTTCGGCGGTTGTGATGCATTATCCAAGGGCGCCCTCGAGGGCGCGAAGTTATTCGCGCTTCGCGGTTCGGCTCCGATGCCTCCCCGTCCCCCTCTTCTCCCCTGGGAGGCGGCGCGAGAGCGCGAAGTTATTCGCACTTCGCGCTTCGCGCAGCGCGAAGCGCGAAGTTGGGAGCCCTTGTTATCCCGCGCTCTGTTCTCAGCGCAGACTGCGTATTGAAGGTTGCATTTGCTGTCCCGCCCGCCCGTCTTGCGCTTTTGGCGCCGGCGGTATGTGTCCGCACCACTTTCTCCCAGCACTGGGTGAACGTTGCATGGAATGTCCCGCCCGCCCGACATGAATGCCCCATCATTGACTGATTGGTTCCTCCACTGTCCCGCCTGCCCGATCATTTCACACAGTGAAGGTTGCATAGAATGTCCTGCCCGCTTGATTTTGCGTCTTTGGCGGTTGTGATATATTTTCCCATGACCTTCCAACACACAGTGAAGTTTGCATTTCATATCTCGCCCGCCCGACCGGTTCTCCAGCTCGTCGTTGTCATTGCCGTCGTCGTCGTCGCCGTCGCCGTCGCGGTCGCGGTTTGCCGCCTTCGCTCCCGATGAGGGGGGTCCCCCTCCTTCTTCGGCCCCCCCCCGGGCGGGGGGGCCCTCCCGCTCCTTTGTCGCCCCCTCCTCGTCCCGCCAGGTTTCTGGGGAGGGGGCATTCTTGGGGCGCCCCTCACCCCTGGCAGGGGGGGGCGCCAATTGTCCCTTGTTATCCACGTTTTCGGGTTTCCCTACGGGTTTGGGACGTTTTCGTCGGTCCCGGGAGGTGCCCGGATCGTCCCGAACGGCAGCTGGAAACCCTCCCTTTGGCTTCCGGGAGGGGCGGGGAGATTTGTTTCAAGCCGAGCTCCCGTGAAACGCGCTCTGCTCTCTTCGCAGAAGAAAGAGGATGAGGCATCCGCGGATTTTTTGTGGTGAGACCTGTATGGGACACTCTCGGAGCCATCGTGTGGCTTTCTTGGGGTCCTCACGGGGCCCTCGCAGGGGGCCTCTTGGAGTCGTGTGGGCAGACATCGGACCCTTGAGAGGCTCGTGGGGGCGCCTCTGGACCCTCTCGGAGCGATCCTGGGCCCCATGGTTCAACGGGGAAGGTGCCATTGATTCGGGTCCCCCCCCAGAGGCCGAACATTTGCCTCCGGGGGCCCTTTGGGGGCGCTCTTGGGCCCTCTTGGGGCCGCATTGCAACATGATTATTCACGCTTCGCGTATCCCCACCAGTCCCTGGGTTGCAGCTTGCACGACCGCCTGGCCTCTCAGACGCCCTGGGTTGCTGCTTGCACCGCCGCCTGATCCGCGGCCCCCGCGCGCGTCCGGGTAATTCGTCACGGCTGCAGCCCGACCGTGACCCCTCGCCGCCGGCGCTTCCGCCTGCGGCTGTAAAAGAACAATATATATATATATATATATATATATATATATATATATATATATATATATCCCCACCAGTTTTTCACCGCAGTGACAGGCCCCAGCCTCAAGGTACGTGTCACCTCCTGGGAGTGAGGTACACCAGTCACACTGCGTTTAGACCCCCACGGGGCTTCGTGGGGTCCTAGCCCGTGCGGTCTGGCTGCAATAATCCTGCCCACGGCGCGTTTTGGCCTCGTTCACGCGAGCATGAGCCCATTTCGCCCGTGTGGGCGCCCATTTTGGGTGGCTGGGGCGTCTGGCCTAAGGCCCTCCCAGGCACTTCACCCCCCCAACGTTTGACGGCCTCGCCCTGGTGGTGCTCCCCCCCCATCAGGCGGCGACACACGCCAACGACATACCGACTCCGAGTGTTGGGTACTCGACAAACGTCGTCACTACCTGGCTCCTCCTCCTTTTGCATTCAAATGACATGCGGCTCTCGGCTGCGCCCCCCCCCTCCCTCCTGACGCCCTCGACGACCTCGGTGGCGGACCGACTACGTGCGCTCACAGGCACGCTCCAAGCAGGGGTCACTGGTCAACGCCATCGAGGTGTCCGACAGTCGTCGGTTTGGCGTGTTTCATTGCAGTGTGGCTCCGGCCTAATACCTTAGTGTCACCTCCTGGGGGCGAGGTGTACTCACACAGCACTGCGATTGGTCCCACAGTGGCGTGTGGGCACTCCCGAGCGGCACTGGCTGTGGTTCCGGCCTTTGGAGCTCTTGGCCCGTTCCCGATCTGGGCCCGTTTTGCTCGCTGGAGTCCGTCTGGGAAGCTGGAGGGCGCCGGTTCTAGGCCCACCCTACTGTGCACTCGACGTTTCCGACAGCTGGTCCTCCTGTTCAGTGGCTGCTACCTTTCTTCGACGGTCCCTTCCCGATGGGTGACAGCTGCCACGTGGGGTGCACGCCATGTCTATCGTCGCCTGAGTCTGTGGAGCTCTGCCTTCGAGCACGCGGTGCTCAGTGAGTGAGGCCCCCCTTTTTTTCTCTGTCTTTCCTCCGTCGCCCCGCTCAGCGCCGCCCGGCCCGATGCGCTGGTGCCTTGAACGGTGCATGCTCGGTCGGCTGTCTACAGTGATGGCTGGTCTCAATTTTCTGGTTTCGTGGTTTAGTCTGCCCTTTTGGCTGCGTCACGCTGTCCACAGCGACGGCTGTGTTCGCCGTCGGCTCTGGGCCTCTGCCCGGTTCGCCTGTTCCGTTGCGCGGTCGGCTGTCGACAGTGACGGCTGAGTTCGCTAACTAGCGCTATTTATCTGCTTGCCTGCACCGTAATTATCTGGCGCTGTGCCCCGCCCGATTGACACTATGCGATTGGCTGTCTACAGTGACGGCCGAGTTCGCATTTATCCGGCACGGTGCCTCAGTCAGCCCGTTGTATTTGCTCCTGTGGCCGTGCGGTCGGCGGTCGACAGTGACGGCTGAGTTCGCCAATTATCTGCATGCCCGCACGTGCGGTCGGCTGTCGACAGTGACGGCTGAGTTCGCAAATTATCTGGTTCTGTGCCCGATTGACACGTCCTCTGGACTTTTTCTTGCGGGCCGCGGATCAAAAAAGTATCCCCACCAGTGCTGTCTGACTGACTCACACCGAGTGATCGATTTCTACGTGGTTTTGGTCGCGCCGCCGCGCCACTGCGTCTACTCGCTGGTAGCCACCGGGATTCATGGACGCCACCAGGAATGGGTCTACCAGTTCTCTTCGCCCTTCTGAGCTGACGCCCTGCTGCGCCTGTCTTGCTTTTCCGCTTCCGTGTCTCTGTTGCGTGGTCGTGGCCCGGCTAGAGTTCGGACGCCTTCCTGACCCGCTTCACGAGGCCGCTGACCCCAAAAAATATCCCCACCAGTGGTGGTCATCGAGTACATTGGCCTGTCCTTCGTCGTCATTTTGGCGCTGCACGTGGACCTTGTGCGCTTCCTGGCCCCCCTCGCCTGCTGAGCGCCTGCGCATCTCGCCTGTGCGCGCGCGGCCTAATCGAGATTGTGGCATGCTGCCGTGCGGCTTTCTGACGGCACGCGGCTCTTCCGCAACGCATGCGAACAAAAAAGTATATCCACCAGTCTCTTGTCGTTGTCCCTCTTATCATTTGTCTCTCTTTCTCTCTCTCTTTCTCTTTCTCCTTCTCTCTCTCTCGTGTGCAATGTAGGCTGCTGCTAGCCAACTGTAGTTTTGGACGGCGCGCGCCACTTCCGCTTGCGCTCGCGAGCACAACAAAAACATCCCCACCAGCCCGTTCAGAAGCCCTGCCCATGAGAACTGACGGGAAAAAGAGACGAAGCGACACATCTAGAGAAACAGAGTTAGCAACCAGGGTGAACCGAGAGATTTCTGGGAGCATTGAGATGACCTTGGAAGGCCTCTTCGGGCCATCCCTGGGGGCCGCGTGGGGGCTAGGGGAAGAGGGAGGCGGAGGAGAAAGACGAGGACGAGGACGAGGACGAAGAGGATTGGGAGGACGAGGACACGGATGAGGACGATAACGAGGACGTAGAGGACGATAACTAGGATGAGAACGACGCGGACGAGGACTCATGGAACCATCTAGAGGTTATCTTGTGGTTGTTGTTGTTCCTGGTGTTCTCTGGGAGTTCGGGGGGGCCTTAAAGGAACCCTCGTGGTAACCCTGGAAGGCTTCTTGGGAACACTGTTGGAAGCCATCGATTACAGGGTGTGGGGGGGTCCCCAACTCAACCCTCCCTTCAGGAGCCCGCAAGCCGTTTCTTGGAGCGCTCTTGGAGCGGTCTTGGGGCCGTTTGGAACATCTTGGGGGCCATCTTGAGCCAGGGGTTATCCGAACCATCTTGGAGGTCATCCTGGGTTCCCTGAGACCGCTCGGGAACCTCTAGGGGCCCTCTTGGAACCCTCTTGGGGCTCTCTTGGGTTTTTTTGGAGCCGTGGAGCGCCTTTTTGGGGCCGTCTTGGGGAGCATCGATCAAAGGGGGGGGTCCTCGATGCCCCCCCCTCCGGGGCCATCACAATCGCAGATTGGAGCGATCTTGGGGCGTTGTTGGAGCGATCTTGGGCGCTTTGGGGGCCGTCTTGGGGGCTTTGGACCTTTCTTGGACTTTTCTTGGGCCATCTTGGGGCCATGGTGAGGCTTCAAAAGCGCGTCGGAAGCGAAAAGGCGAAAAAAGGCACCAACATTTTATCCCCCGCAGGTTTTTGAAGGATGTTGGTTTCTCCGGGGGGGCCCGAGGAAGTTCTGAGAGCACGTGGAACCGTCTTGTGGCTGGGGTCTCTTGGAAGCATGTTGCTAGTTGTCTTGAGCCATGTTGTGCTATATCGAATGATTTGGGAGGCCAGCTTGGCCTCTCTGAGGCCATTTTGGAGCCATCCTGACAGGAAAGGGGCCTTGTGCCACCTCGCGAAACACCCCGTCCAGGTCCAGGGGAGGGGGTAGAGGGAGGGGTCAAGACTCCCTCGCCGCCCGCAAGCCGTCGCGCTTACTCCCACCCGCCCTCCCAACACATACGTAGCACCCGAGCCTGGCCCGAGCCGCAGCATATGCAGCCGTCGTCTGTGGACGGGCACCTACTGGGGGCCAATCCGCCGCCGCCGCCGCCGCCGCCGCCGCCTCCGCCGCCGCCGCCGCCGCCGCCGCCGCCGTTGCCCGCCGCCGCCGCTTCCGCGCCGCCGCCGCCGTCGCCGCCGTCGCCGCCGCGCCGCCCGCCGCCGCCGCCGACGCCGCAGCCGCCGCAACCGCCGCAACCGCCGCCGCCGCCAAGTGTACCCTGTACGGTTTTTTGTCAGGGATGGTGGGGTGAGGCCGCATCGGGTTGGCTGCGCATGTTCCGAATTCGGAGGCACAGTGTGTTTTGCATTGTTTTTTTAACCAGGGATGGTGGGGGGGGTGCCCGCATGGACCTGGGTTGGCTCCCAGTCGCCTGGGGGAGGGGGTGTATACTAATAGGGAACAGGGGTAAACCCCTCCCCGAAGGGGAAGAGGGGGTTTGGGAAGAGGAAAGAAAGACATCGTTGGACCACCTGCGCCCAAAGGGCTAATGGGATTGGGCCCCTCGTGGGGCTCTCGTGGCCAATCTTGGGACCACCATGAGGCTTCAAATTCTCGCCGGCCGCGCAGAGGCGGCATCGCCACAACTATTGATTCCCATCCGGTTTTGGCAGGCTTCGTCGCCAGTTTTAGCCATCTTGTAGCCCCCCTGGAATTCATCGGATGCATGACGAGCATTTTCGTGGGCCATTAACGGCTACTTTGAGCCATCTTGACTGTAATTTTGGCGCATCGGATGCCACCTCGGGGCCACTGATCTCAGCAGGGCCGTCTGCCACATCGGTTCGAAGACTTTTCGGGCCGCCTTGAAGTCGTTGCGTTCGACTTTCGCAATATCTACCGTCTTTGAGTCGTCTCAGGTTGTGTTAGAGGCAATCGTTGACCGTGTTGGGTTGTTTTGGAAGCCATTTTGGAAGCCATCCCGTGCGTCGGACAGGCCTCCTGGATCCAAACAAGAGCGGCATCATGTGACCCATGAGTTTTGCAGTGCCAGGCCTCTCGTTGGCCCTCGGGAGCCCTCCATCATCATCGTCACCTCTCCTCTCTCCTCCTCCTCCCCCTCCTCCTCCTCCTCCTCCTCATCCTCATCCTCCTCCTCCTCTTCCTCCTGTCACTCTGTCTGTCTCTCTCTATTCCTCTCTCTCCCTCTCTCTCTCTCTTTCTCTCAACCTCTCTTTCTCTCTCGTTATCCTATATCCCTCCTGATTATTTCTCCTTTCCTCCGCCTCCTGTGCATCCACTGAGCTGCAGGGCGCTCGTCGTCTCGTTCCGCCCCCGGCCCGCGCGCAGGAAAAACTTCGAGCTGCCTCCGGCCAACAGCTCGTTCACGGTGATCGAAGAGACGAGCAAGTATCGAAGACGCCTACGGCGAACCACCGCCGCCCCCTGCCTTTTTGGAAGCGCTCATGTGGCCGAACGTTGAGGCCAGACCTGCCAAGCTATCGGACCATGTGTTCCCCGAATCGTTTCGGAAAGCCGTCGGGGAACACGTGGGCATCTTGAAGGTCATCTTGGCCGTCTGGAGGCCATGTTGACCCTTTCGGGCCTTCTTAGAGGAAGTCTTGGAGGGCTCTTGGGCCGTCTTGGAGGTCATCTTGAGCGTCTTGGAGGCCTCTTGGGCCGTCTTGGGGGCATATTTGGGCCGTGTCTTGGGCCTCTTGGGTGATCTTTGGGGGCACTTGAGCCGTCTCGGGCCGTCGGAAGGCAGAAAAAAAGCAAAAGCCACAATCCTTCAAACACCCATGGGAAATCAATGATTGTTGCCTTTCTGGGCATTCCTGGAGGCCCTCTTGGAGGCCTCTTGGGCTGTCTTGGGCCATCTTAGGGCCATGTTCGGCCGTCTTGGTGGGCTCCTGGTCCGTCTGACGCCGTCGGAAGCCGTTTGGGGAGCCTCTATGGGCCGACTTGGGGCCCTCTTGAAAATGCTCCAGGGCCGTCTTGGAGGCTATCTTGGGCGTCTTAAAGGCCTCCTGTGCCGTCTTGGGGGCCTCTTGGGGCCGTCTTGGGGCCTTCTTGGGCCGTTCTGGGGCCATCTGAGAGGCCTCTTGGGCGATCTTTCGGCGATCTTTGGGGGCTCTTGGGCGGTATCGGGCCGTCGGAAGGCCGCAAAGAAGCAAATGCACAAATCCGACAAAAACCTTTAGAAAATCAATGTTTTGGGCCTCTTCTGGCCTTCCTGGAGACCGTCTTGGGGGCCTCTTGGGCCGTCTCGGGCCAGCTTCGAGCCATCTTCGGCCATCTTGGTGGGTCCCTGGCACGCCGTCTTGGAGGCCTTTCTGGGCCGACTTGGGGCCCTCTTGGGGCGCTTCGGGGCCGTCTTGGAGGCCATCTTGGCTGTCTTGGAGGTTATCTTGGGCGTCTTCGAGGCCTCTTGGGCCGTCTTGGGGCCGTCTTGAGGGGCCTCTTGGGCCGTCATGGGGCCATCTTGAAGGCCTCTTGGGCGATCTTGCGGCGACCTTTGGGGCCTCTTGGGCCGTCTTGGGCAGTCGGAAAGCCGAAAATGCGCAAATGCCAGAATCCTTCAAAACCCTAGGAAAATCAATGATTTTGGCCTCTTCGGGTCTTCCTGGAGGACCTCTTGGAGGCCTCTTGGGCCGTCTTGGAGGCCTCTTCGGGAGCCTATTGGGCCGTTTTGGGCCATCTTGAGGCCATCTTAGGCCATCTTGGGTGCATCTTGGGCCGTCTTAGCCGTCTTGGAGGCCATCTTGGCCGTCTTGGAGGCCATCTTAGGCCATCTTGGAGCCGTCTGGATCGGAAAAACCCTTTGCAACCACCTCTGGAGGATCTTTCGGCATCCTCCCGGGACCCCGGCGGGACGTGCCCGAGCCCATTGGGAGAGTTTTTCGGGAAAAGAACCAAAACCAAAATCGTAAGAAGTTCAGCACGCCAGGCACCCCTGTGATGAATCGACAGCGGGCGGCGGATCCAGTTGCCTGCGGCAAATCCCGCCGCCGTGCCAGCGCTGCAGCGCAGCGTGAAGGAGGCTGCGGTCTTGGAGCTCTCTTGGGCCGTCTTGGAGTTCTCTGGGGGGAGCCCTTGAGCCGTCTCGGGGCTCAAACCTGTGAGATATACGCTGTACATCGTGCAAAAACAGACGTGATGTGTCATGCCCAAAACCGATTTGAGAATGATGACCCCCCCTCTCCCCCCCCCCGGATCCCGACTGCCATTAATTCGCATCCGAATGATAATTCTTTTATCTGTCCCCCCTGGAAAAAAGTCCATGGATGCCGATCGATGCCACTCGTATATACCTCGGTACCAGGGAGAATGCCGATGTGACATTGTAGCTTGGTGTAGCCCCTTATGTCTAGCTTGGAGGGCGCGCCGGCCCTCGTAGTAGCCTGGTGTAGCCCCGCTTGCGTGGCCCAGAGGGGGGACGGCCTTCATCGTATCCTGGTGTAGCCCCGCAAATTTGGCCCAGAGGGCGGTGCGACCTTCGCTGTAACCTGGTGTAGCCTTGGTGCGGCCTCGAACTGAGCGGCTCCGGCCTTCGTCGTAACCTGGTATAGCCCCTCTCCTGTCCTGTTGCATAATATTTTCATCACATGTCGCCGGTCTGATGAGCCATCTGGAGCCAACTTGGGCCGTATTGCGCCATTTTGGAGGCCATCCTAAAACACTTGTGGCCCTCTCGACACCAGAGGGCGCGCGCAAGGGATGGTCCCCAAGTGCGGTCTCTTTCCGCGCCAGGCTCGGGCGCGTCAGGTTTGGCTTGTTCGCAACCCAGACAGGGCGCGCGGTGCGCAGGGAGAATTCCTTGAGCGCAGTCTCTATCCACGCTGGGGTCACAGGGCGTGGCAGGCGTGGCCTGACGCCAAGAGGGGGTGCGCAGGAATCTGCCCCTTCACGCAGGGCGCCAGGGCGGTCGCGGGGGCGTCTCCAGCGATCCAGTTCGCCCCGCCTCCCTTTTGTTTTCTATAGGCGCACTACAGCGCTGGGGAAAACCATTTTTTAATTGTCTCCCCAAATACATGTTTAAAACTGTTTTTAGGCATTAGTAAGGGGGAGAACGTTTGTGTAGACTCCCACCTTCCTCCTCCCGCCGCCGCTTGTTGCCCAGACCCCGTTTCCAAGGCCCCTGACTCATACCGAGCGCGAGGTAAGAACCGATGTTTTTCTCGCTATTATCTGTCACGTGTGACGCTGTCAAAGACTACAGGGTCTTTGACAAACGCTTATTTGTATCGGAGCCTGTCGATCATTCGGCAGGCTCACACCTTCCATATTCCATCTACCTCGGACTCATCGAGGTTAGCGGCTCCGCCTCCATCTTTTGCACTTTCGTGGAATCGATTTCCACCGAAATTTGGTAGCGACAGCGCCTCCACCGACAGCGGCGTCAAGCAGCCCGTACTCAGCCAGAGCAGCGACGACATCTGCACAGCCAAAACCACCATCGTCATCATAGCGAGGAGCGGAAGGCAGCGACTACTCATCGATTATGCAGGAAGGGAAGGTTGCACAGTCTGATGGCGCACGAGCACGGTGGAAAAGGCACGAGAAGCGAGCGACGGTGTTCATTGCAAAGCTAACCTTGAAGAAGCTGGAGGGCGAAGTGGCTCTCATGCCACTTTCGGGCCTCACAGGCGACGCCAGGGAGAGGTCGAGGACCTCACGCCTGTCGAATTGGTCAGGGGTGGGGGCGCGAAGGCCCGCCCGTTTGCGACGACGGGGCAAAATGTTGGCATTCGAATGGAGTTGGCAGACGACTTCGAGGAGTATTTCTACGAACTCAAAAGGCTGACGGACGATGCGCTTTTCAGCTACGTTTCCCGAGTCGGAGCTGCCAGGAGGAAACTCGAGATATCGCGACATCGGTTGACCAGCCAAGGTTGAGGATGGTTGGTGCCACGACAACGCTGTTACACGAACGACCAAAAAAGGCAGTCATCATGTCAATCGCAGGCTGGGGCATCACACAGGAGTAGGTCACCGAGGCACGCGAGATTGCATTCGGAAAAGGGGAACACGATACACGAACCGAATCACACGCGGAGACAGTAACTATTTCGTCGATCTTCGAGGATGAGGCCTGATGCGAGCAGGAAGAACCAGACTTCTTGGACGGATGCGAGCAGGAGCGTTAGCAGGATGACGACGACACTTGGTACGATTACGACGAGAGCTACTACCAGAGACAAAGCCACCTTCCCAGACTTCGACCCAGCAGAGGTCGAGCGAAGTTTACACAGCCAACCACGACGCTTGGAAGCGGTCCAACGACCGACGGCTGGCGAGAGAATTCGACCTGGTCTCGGCGATGGCCGCGGTGGCCGACTTTCCGTCGAGCGCAGCATCGGCCAGCTCAAGACGCGGCAAATCCACAGGCAGATAAGGCAGTCCCACGCAGAGGAAGCAAGGCGCAACCACCGCCGCGCAACTCCTACATAGACCCAGCCCGAGAGCGAGCAGCAGCAGCCAGCCAACCAGCGCCAAGTTTGATTTCGCGCCTACGACGCGGCGGAGCGGCATGCCAGGCGAAAGACTGCACCGACCCCTGGCCGGAACGCCTTTTTTCAGCAACCGGCCACTGGGACATCAAGACGACGTCCGGCCTCGATCCCGTTCGAAGCGGGGTTCTCGACTGCGGAGCGGCTGCGCTCATATCACGAGGTCGACGGCCAAGAACAATTGGGCGGGGCGCCGAGGGAAGGGCCACCCTGTCGATCAGCTGGTTTTCCACTGGTGTCGGCGCTTGCTCAGGTTCGGCAGCGGCGAGGTCAAGCGCGCGAAATGGCGCGGGGCGACCCCCGCCAGCGTCGAGGGCAGGGCCAGGGCCGGCGCGCCCTGCGCCCGCGCGGCACCCGGGCGCGCGCCCATCCTTTTCCCGAGACCCTTGCTCGGGGAGTTTGCGTTTCAGTTTGATTGCGCCAGGCGCCTGGCAGAAGCTCATCTGGAACGGGGGCGAGTTCGAGGAGGCGGTCATATCCCCACGGGGGCGCTACATGGTGGACCTGCAGCGGGACCTGTACAAGGCCAGTTTCGACGGCGACCTCAGCTTCGAGCGCGAGCCCGCGGGCGCGGCCCAGCTCCAGAACCCCGGCCGCGAGACTGTCAACGCCCTGGAGCTCATCGACCAGATCCACGCGGTGGAGGCGAGCTGCGGCGACGACAGGAACGCTGGGAAGGACTGCGTTGGCGGCCCCAGTCGAAACCTGCCCGCAGCGCGCAGCGAAGGTCAACTGCCGCGGAGCTCACGCGAAGCAGTGCAAGGGCACGCAGCGCACCTCGCGCGGCAACTACTGCCTCACGACTGCGCCTGCGCAGCCGGTCGACCCCAACCTGCCCGGCCCGTGCCGGTGTTTGCTGGAACGCAGCGACGACGGCCTCATGATCGACGAGAAGACCGGCAGCGGCGAGCGCTTGCATGGACAACGAGGCCCAGCAGATTACGAAGCAGGCGGTGCCGGAGACGGACTTGGCAGCGGCGCGCGCGAGCGACCGGCGCGCGCGGGCCCTGCGCCGCGCGGTCGCCAGGCGCTGCGCGACGCGACGCGCCGTCTGGGAGGCCTCCGCAGGCGAGGCGCGCGCGCGCCACTTCCAGGCGCAGCGAGATCTGGGCGCCAGGGTCGAGACGCCCGGCCCGCGCGCGGGCCGGGGCCTCGCGCGGATCGACCGCCGGGGTCAGTTCAAGAAGAAGCTCTTGGAGGAGCAGCGCGCAGGAGCTCGACGCCCACTGGCGCCTGGGGTGGAAGGGGCACTTGGTCGAGCGGCGCGCGCGGCACCATCGAGTTCATCTGGAGCTCGTGGCGGACATTTTTCAGGCGCAGCACGATTGGGGGAGTCGCCCGCGCGGGGCGCCCAGCCACCTTCGAAGGGCGCGGCAATCGGTCGCTTTCTCGACCCTGCCGGGCTTCCGCGCCACGCGAGACCCGAGCGCGCGCGGCGTCGCGTCTTCGGCCCCCCACGAGCCACACAAGGCGCCGACGGCGATCGAGACGTGAGAAGCTCGCGATCGCAGTCCCGAGCACGCGGCGCGACCGCAGTCATCGGCGCGCGGCGCTCGATGACAACGTCGGCGGCGCAGGAATCAAGCGCGCAGAGCAGGCAGCCCACGCGTTCCGGCGGCCACGATATCCTATGCGACGGCGAATTCGGGCGCGAGGACCCGCGGCGGCGACGACGCGGACGCCGCCGCGACGGAGCAATTGGGCCAGGAGAACGAGAAGGTTCACATGCAATTGCAACTGCAGCTGCGCGAGAAGGACGGCGGGGAGACCTCGCGCCACGTCGAACACCTACGTCGCAACATGGGCCACCCGAGCCCGACAGCGCTACAGCGATTGCAACGGAGAGCCATGGCGCCGAGCTGCGCGGCCGAGCACCGCTGTGAGCACTGCCTTCAGAGGCAGAAGCCAACCTGGACCACGGCCCCGCGTTGCATCTGCGAGGCAACCCGCGATATCCAGCGAGACGCTTCACGCCGACGCCTGCTGGGTGGAGACTGGCCACCCGCAAGACAGCGATCCTGTCTAGCGCGGGCGGCGCGACTAGGCATTGCGCGTTGCGAACCATCAACACGGAGGCAGCCGACGAGCTGATCGCGGCCTCGAGCGCGGCTGGGTCAGGCAGTTCGGACCGATGGTGGAGCTGCGGGCGGCCGGCGGCACGGGGGTCGCGTCCGCGAGTTTCGCGCAGTTCCTGGGGCGGCGCAACATCGGCATCGTTATCGCAAGAGGCGAGGCGCACGTCGGAATCGGAGTGGTGGAGAGACGCCATCTGGCGGCACGGGGGGCGATTGAACTCTACTGCGCGGGCGCGATCGAGCGTGGAGCCGAGGCCGCATCCGACGAAACTGACCGTCAGTGCGCGCGCCTGCGTCTCCCGCCGCGTCTATCGCCTGGCGTTGACGACTCTCTGTTCACCATGCCAAGAGGTTCTCGGCGTGGATCTAACGATGACAACGACCAACTCCCACGGCAAGTTCCACCAGCTACCCCCGGGCGCGAGAGGGCGAACACCCGTGGAAGTCGACGCTTCGGCCAAGCTACGACGCGCACTTCTGCGACGAAGCGCGGCGCTCGAGCGCGGCCCTTCCACCGGCCAGCGCTGCTTCAACTGGCGAGATGGGGGGGGGGCCATCGAGTTCGGCGGGGCGCGTCGCGAAGTGGCAGGGCCCCGCGATCGCGGCAGTCAAGAAGATGCGCTGGGACGAGAGCGGCCGACGGATCTACTGGACCGCTCACGGCGCGCAGCCGGCACGCTGCGCGCCCGAAAAACGCGATCGGACGCGGGCGCCAGGGGGCCCGTTCTCCTGGAGGGCCTCGCCCATGCCATGGGCGCCCTCGGCAACGCGCGGGGGGCGGGCGCTCCTAGGACGGGCGTCGCGCAGTTTCGCGACTGCAGTTCGCAGCAGACCCCGCTCGGCGCGCCGCGTGATTCGGACATGGACATCGGCGACGGCCAGCCTATCCAAGCGGCAGCGAGGGGGCCGCCAGCGGCGGCATTTGCAGCGGACAACGCCAATGAGACCGACGGGCCGACGCGGCCAGGGCCCTCGCCACGCGGGCCAGCGGCAACGCCGGCACCAGCGAGCGACGTCGACGCTGCAGGACCAGGAGCAGGATCAACCAGCGCCGCGGCCCCCACGGAGCAGCAAGCAGCCAGATGCGCCCACGGCAGTGCCTGACAGCAGTCGGCAGACGTCGGCGCATTCATCGGCAGTTCGACCAGACCAGGGGCCCATGCCCACGACGCCACCACCAGAGCCGAAAACACCACAGCCATTACCAGCGCAGACGGCCATCTTTCGGAGACCAGATGGAGTCTATCAAGGACCACCGTAGCCACCGCCTGGAGACTGATCGGACATCCCGATGCCCCGCAACAGCCGCAGCGCAGACGACGAACTGGCAGCCAAGCGGCTGTTCGTGGACAGCGACGACCTACCCCTCGGCTGGGAGTATGGCAGCGAGGCCGAGCTCAACGACATCCACGCGGACATCAGCACACTTAGCATGGCGCCACACGAGCGCAGCGCTCATGGAGAGCCAGCGGAAGGAATCCATAGAGTTCTTCAGCAACTTCGCGGGTGCCCCACAAACCGGCCGGCCAAGAAGACCTTCGCAGGGTTTTCAAAAGGCGAAGTGAGCAGGCGAAGAACGGAGACGGGGCGCCACGGGCGAAATCGATCCAGACGCGTTTGACGGCAGCGTACCGACGTCACCCCCCACCGTTTCGAGTCTGGGACGTCAGTTCTCAGTGCTGTCGGCAGCGAACAGCCGCGGCGACGGCGTTCCTCCGGGAACGACCCCGGCAGCGCGCGCCATGCGCCAGGGCGCCGAAGGGCGCAGCCGAGCTCGGAGGGGCCATGGCACTTCGAGTTCTGATTTAGCACGCGCGCGGCCAGGTAGACGCACCAAGGCTGCAGTGGCAGCGCGCAGTGGACGACGTGAAAGCCGGTGGTCTCAAGCAGCACCCTTTGGGCCTATGCGCGTGTCCCTCTTCCGACAAGGACGGCGCCTGCGACGGATTCGTCTAGAGCGGGGCCCAGCGGGCCATTGCGAGAAGGTTGTCCGTGAGGCAATGGACGGCAAGCGTTCAAACGGCAGCGAGGCAGACGCGAAGTTTCCTGCGCCAAGAACCGGCCGCCGATTACGATCGAACAGAAGAGCAACGACATCGCGAGGGTGCCGACGATCATGGAGAAGCGGCAAGTACGTGAACTATTTGAAGCGCTACAGTGGCCAGACTCATAGGGGCCCTCCCCGCGTCTCGGTCTCCGTCGGCATCCGCAGAGGGCAACTTGCCTACGGCAACGGCGGGAACGGCGAATGAGGTCAACGAGACGCTGCGGCTTCACAAGCAGACTGCGCAGACGGTCTCGCGAAAATTGCAGCACCCCTGCTCTTCGAGGGCAAACTGCGACATGGCAGGCTGCGGTTGACCCAAGATCCGACCTACACGTCGGCCAAGAAGAAGACGAAGGAAGAGCGGCAGGATCTCATCGACCAGACGAGGACGTTTCCATCGCGGCGGCCTCACCCTTGATGCTGTTGGCAGGGTTCGCCGCATTTGTTCCAGCCAACCGGTTGGGGTTATTGATGCAGCCAAGCACACACTCAAAAAGGATAACGATAGTGACAACATCGTGCTCTTGCTGTTCACCATCCTGGACACTGCTGTGATTTTCCCAATTGTGTCCTACCTGAAACATCGGACCCGAGCAGAGTACAGCTACATGATAGAGTTCGAGAGCAGGAAAACCAAGATGGTTCAGCAGCAGACCGAGAGCACCGACAACATCAAGATGAAAGACGAGACCGCATCGAGCTCATCCGAAAATTTCAGGACAGCTGGAGCCCATTTGAAGGTAATCTACAAGTTCAGCCAGGACACATGGAGGGAGGCTTGGGCACCAGACTCTGGATTTTCGCCGAGCGGGCGAAGTCCCGACTGACCCAGTGATCGGGATCATCAAGTGTGTCACCTTGCGCAGGTCAGCGCTGTTTTTGAACATGCCGCCTTGCAGGCTCTGTGTCATGGCGTATTATATATACATATATGGGCGAGATCCCTTCTCAGTTTTGGACATCGTATATTTAGCTGTGCGTGTCTCGTCTAGTCTTTGACAGGTGTCCGATACACGCTGTACCTCGAAATCTAGAACAGACGCGTTGTGTGGTGAAGGGGGGACAGGTCGTGCAGTTTCCTACCACCCTCCTCCCGCCGCCGCGTTTGGCCCGGGCCAATTCCCAAGGCCTTAGAGCCATATCGAGCGTGGGGTGAGACAGTACATGATGTTATTGTTATTCGAGTCCGTTCTGAGCTACCAATAACAATAGATGTTGCTAGTGCTGTTGCAGTTCGTTCGTGCGAGTTCACCAAACACTCTACCAGACAGCACTTGGCATTCCAGCACGCCCCAACGTGCCAGGGGGCATGGTGGCGGATAAGCTCATCCAGGTGGTACTCAGGCGCTGCCCCGATGCCGACGAGCGCCCGCGGGCAGGGTACCCGGACAAGCCGGCCACCGAAGTTGCGAGCGGGCCGGGAGGAGGCGGGGAGCGGGGAACGCCGAAGGGATTGGGCGTTGAGGATGAACAGTGAGGAGGATTTACCCCCCCCTATTTTGTCTTCTCCGCCCGAGCCTAAGGAGGCGGAAGCAGAGTAGGAGGAGGGCAGGGGGACGAGGAGGAAATGATATGGGGGGAAGGAGAGCGAGTGGCGGCGGAAAAAGGGCGAGGAGAGGAAGGAGAAGGAGGAGGAGGAGGAGGAGGAGGAGGTGAGGAAACGGGGGGAGGCTGAGGGGGATGATGAGGGATGATGAGGGATGCGGCGGAGGAGGAGGAGGAGGAGGAGGAGGAGGAGGAGGAGGAGGAGGAGGAGGATGTGTTCAAGGAACGTCTCTGCACTGGCTCGTCCCCTTGTCGTGCCCTAAGGCCGTCCTTGCTCAGACTTCGTAGGACCCACGACGCTTTTGGACATCGCCTTCACGTGTCTTGTTGCGTGGGCTCGGATGTCCTTCTCGTCTGGTGTATCTGGTGTGGCCTCTGTGGGACGTCTGATGCGCTGGGTCTGGGGAGGAAGTGCATTGAGAACCTTCGATCCAAAGAAAGGCGGCAGCTTATCAATGGTAAGCTCCCGCAGTCCACATGTCTCCTGCACGGCACCCTTCCCATCCATGAGAGATCCATGAGTAGGTGCAAGAATTTCGCCGTTGGGGTTATCCCTCAGTCCCCTTGAGCTGGGCTCGTGCCCAAGTGATGTGGTGTGCACTGTATGACTCATCCCTGGAGGTCCCTACTGGTCCCTATAGGAGGAGGAGGAGGAGGAGGAGGAGGAGGAGGAGGAGGAGGAGGAGATGCGGAGGAGGAAGAGGAGGAGGAGGGTGTTGTGGAACGACCTAACGTCAGTAAGAAACTAAAGAAACTTCGCCATCATCATCATCATCATCATCATCATCATCATCATCATCATCATCATCATCATCATCATCAGCATCAGCATCAGCATCAGCATCATCATCATCATCATCATCATCATCATCTTCATCATCATCGGAGGACCCATCATCCTCCAGATGTTTGAAAGCCGTCTTGGCGGCCTCGCCCAGGGCCTTGACCATGCCAAAGTCGCCCTCCACGAGGCCGAGCACCAGCAGGATTTCCTCGCGGGAGGCGAGGCCTGGCCTAGCTTGGTTCGTCCTTGCGGGCGCGGCGGGGGTAGGCTGATAGAGGGCCCGAATTGTCAACGAATCCCGCTCAGCCTCGCCCAGGCCACGGGAGCTACTCAACGACAAGTGCTTGGTAGTGGCTCGGCCGTGGAGGTGTTTGCCATCTCTGGTTCGCTTCAGCTGGCTCTTGACTTGAGGTGATCGAGGGTGCCCATTGCACCCCGACATCAAAAGCTGGCTTGGCTTGCATGACTGCTCCTGCTCCTCGTCCTCCTCCTCCTCCTCCTCCTCCACTCCCCTCCTCCGCTCTCCCTCCCTCCGTCCCTCCTCCCATCTCCTCCCGCCCACTCTTCCCCCGGCGGTGGCGAGGGCGACGGCGAGGAGGGCGACGGCGACGACGACTGCGACGAGAGTGACGGCGACGACGGCGACGACGGCGACGGCTTGCGACGGCCTGCGATGGCGGCGACCGCCCGCAGACGGCCACGGCGGCGCCTGCCCCCTCCGCGCGCGAGGCGCCGCGGGGCCAGCGCCTCCAGGGCCGAGGCGCGGGCGGCGCAGCTCCGCAGGGGCCTCCACGAGGGAACGGTGCTGTTCGGGGACGCCCCGCCCCGCCGAGGTCGAGGCTCGAGGGCCGAGGATGCAGGCTCGCGGGTCGAGGATGCAGGCTCGAGGGTCCGGGGTCGAGACGGTCGAGACGGTCGAGGGTCGAGAGTCGAGGATGCGAGTGTCCAGGGTCGAGGTTCGAGGGTCCAGGGTCCAGAGTCCAGGGTCCGGGGTCGAGGTTCGAGGGTCCAGGGTCCAGGGTCGAAGGTGCGAGGGTCCAGGGTAGAGGTTCGAGGGTCCAGGGTCGAGGTTCGAATTTTCAGGGTCGAAGTTCGAGGGTCCAACTCGGAGATGCGCTTCAGCTCCTCGTTGTCGCCCAGCTGCTTCCTGAGCTCCTCCAGAGGGTCGAATTGATCTTCGTGGCCCAGCAGGTCTGCGACAGAGGAGGAGGAGGAGGAGGAGGAGCTGGAGAGGGGGACTTGGAAGAGGTGGAGGAGGAGGAGGAGGAGGAGGAGCAGGAGAAGGTTACTCCTCCTCCTCCTCCCCCTCCTCCTCCGTTTCCCCCTTCTCCTCCTCCTCCTCCTCCTCCTCCTCCTCCTCCTCCTCCTCATCATCATCATCATCATCATCATCAGTATCGTCATCGTCATCGTCATCGTCATTATCATCATCATCATCATCATCAGCAGCATCATAATTATCATCATCATCACCATCATCATCTGTCGCCATTTTGGCTCAAGGCTCTAACCTGCCCTGGGGCTATAACCTTGTTGCAGGCGACAGGGAGACCCGAGATTACGGGGTCAGGCATCACCCCGTCCAGACGTGCGCCGAAGCACGCACCCTTTCGCTCAGATCGGATCCTGAGACCAGAGGCCAGCGATGGCGCTCGATGCGGCTTCCCTACGGCTCATGCTGAATGAGGCCCGTCGTCCACTCAATGAGCAGATGGGCGCCATGCAGATGGCGATCAACACGAACCTGGCGGCGGTTAGGACGATAGACGCAAGGCTCTCTGAAGGAGTCAGGCATAACACTGGCACCAACGCCGCTATGAAGGAGGAGCTGCAGACTCACAGTGAGCGCGTGGACGAGCTCGAACTTCAGCTTCGAGGACAACAGCGTGACGGATATATTGCAATGGCGCAGGCGGATGGCATGGCCACCACGTGTTCAGCCTCCGCCCGCCGTCAGACACTCGAGGCCATCTAAGCGGAACTCCAGCGCACGATCGAGGCACAGTGCAGGAGCTCCGATCCATGAGCGGCATACGGCAGCGCCGCTTCTCCATCGACGCGCTCTGCGGGTTCTACGGCTTCTTCTCCACCACAGAGGCCAACGGTACCTTCTGATAAGACGAAGATATGGTTCCGAGGCTTCCCCATGAAGCAGTTCAAGAGTGCCTTCGGACGACACTTTGCCGTCCTGAAGACCTCGGTGCCTATGGATTACCGCGACAAGTGGGTTGCAGTATGCCAATGTCTGCGGCTTGCGTCTGACATCAAGTTCGAGTGTCAGGAGCATGCCAAATCGTTGTGCGAGCGCTGTCGGGACCAGGCAATTTGTTTCACCCAGGCGCCCACTGGCTCTCAGCACAACTTGAGGGTTGGGTGCGACGGACTATACGACATCAAGAAGAAGGGCGTCATTTTTTGGTCTTGTATGGAAGCATAGCAATGCTAACATGCGCTCGAGCAACCGCTGGACATCGTCGAGTACCCTGGCGCGCATCAACGAGTACCAGGTCTCTGCTACACCGCCGAGCGCGACGAGCCCATCGATTTAGTGGCACTGGCTTCGTGGACCGAATCTGAGGTCGTGGTGGGGACTTGCAAGCAGGAGTTGCTCAAATTCGGCCTCGCCGAGTAGCAGATCCAGGACCTGCCTGCAGCGGTGAACGCTGCGTACCATCAACAGGAAATGTCAGCGCAGTCCTCTGCTGAAGGCGACGCCGCTGTTGCATCTGTCTTTGCTCATACTGCTGCGCGTCGCACACGAATGCGCCCATGCAAGGAACGCGTGGAATTTAAGCAGGTATCGAGGCCTTGCGAAGAGACCTCACCACGCACATGCACTACGGTTCCTTCTGCGAGGATCAGTGCTACGAGCATTGCGAACGCCTTCCTTGCCCACTTCACGAATGTGGAGGTTTGCGAGCACGTTCCTGGCCGTCTGTTTTTTTGTTCTCTCTCTCTCTCTCTCTCTCTCTCTCTCTCTCTCTCTCTCTCTCTCTCTCTCTCTCTCTATATATATCCCTCTCTTGCGCCAAGGACCATTGGGGGACCTCGGGGTGCGCAATGCCCAGCAAGACCTTGCCCTCGACGACCCCCAGAAGTTTAATGCGATGAGAAAAGTCGCGAACGCCCTCCTCCAACGTAATTCATGTCTGGCATTTTTGGCTCGAGATTTCAACTTCCTCGAAGCAAGTGAGACCCGGACCGGGACTGATGGCGGGCCTCTGCGGCCAGAGCGACCTGCTCTACTTCGGTGATTCGGCGAGCTCTTCCCCTCTGCGCTCGAGCTTGCCCAGGATGAGCCCACGCGTCGATCTGGTGATCTTGGTGGAGGGGGCGCCAGGTCTCTCGGGCGCATTGATCGAATTTGCACGCTTGCGTCAACGGCCACCACTCTCGACGCTAAGCCTAGTGCAGGCATCGCCGGGCACGTCTTCAAAGCAGCCAGGCCTAGTGATCATGTGCTCGCGCAGGTTCGCTTCTCTCCTGGGTTTTGGTCGCAGGCTGCGGTGCCAGAGCGCGAGTCTGCAGGTCTGGTTGGCGAGGCCAGGGCGCAGGTGGAGATCTCCAGCGACCCCCATCATGGCCTCGGGCAAAATCAAAGAATGCATGCGCGTAGCCAGCCTCGAGCTTTAATCGGAGCGTGAATTACCTACCCCGCTTTCGCTTCCAGGCAAAACCAAGTCATACCACGCGCCTCCTCGTCAAGCGGCCTGAGCAGTACAGGCCGTAGTCTGGCATCGTTTGGTATCTCTTGGAAGCGAGGGTGGTCAAAAGCGAGGTAGGTTTGTTTTCCCCTTATTTAAGCGCGTATTCACAGGAGGAGTTCAGACTGACGCGCGCCGCCCCATGGCATGTCTCAAATGCATGCCCACCAACATGAATGGGCATGAAGTGGCCGCGCGTAAGCGCGTAAAGGCACGCGACGCCATCGCGCAGCTCGCGGATGAGCAGCGCGAGCACGCCATTTATCAGAAGAAGCTCCATGAGCACATCCGCGCCATCCAGGTGCGCATTCTTGCGTTGGAGTTACGTGGGCACGAGCAGTCACCCGAGAATCAGTTCGACCACGAGCGCACCGCGAAGCTTCGCAAACTTTGGAGGGCACGGTCACCAAAGCACAGGCGCATCTCGCTCGTAGGCATCCTGGGCGTCGACAGGCACGAGCCCGTCAGTTTAGACGACAGCGCTGCGCGGCTAGCGGCGCGTTGGGGCCAGGTACACACCGCTGCCGATGCGCCGGATGTGCCCTGGGATATCTCCGCGACGTTGCTAGTGCGCTGCCAGCGTGTCCCTCCAGGCATCGAGTGGACGGTTCCCTTCTCCGACATGCTGGGCCCCCTGTGCTGCGAGAAAGATTCCGCAGCGGGCCCCGACGGCATTCCATGCTCTCGGTGGGCTGCTTGCAGTACCCAATGTAATGAAAAATCATGCCAGGTTTATGTGAAGCTCATGGACAAACGCCCCTTTCCTGCTGGTTTCAATCATGGGGCTGCGGTTCTTCTCGCCGAAAAAGTTTAAAAAACGACGCTAAACTGGCTGTTTCAAGGAAGGCCGCCGAGACCTGCCCATTATTTATTGGCAACGCGGAAAACAGGATTTTCGCACTGCTTCTCTGTATCCTTTTCGGGCAACGCGGACAAGTTTCGGTTCGCAGCACTCGAGCAGGTTTTATCAGAGGCAGGCGCACGCCGGTCAACATAATGCAGATCGAGGCCGGTTTTCCCGATCACTTTGCGTCTCAAGGAGCCGAGCGCGCAGGCCTGTTCTTGCTCGACTTTGCGACCGCTTTCCCAAGCATCGCGCACGCGTGGATATTCACTGTTCTGAGGCGCATGTTGGTTCCTGAATCACGTTGTTCATGCTGCGCAACAAATGTATCATGACATTTTTTCGCGTAAACGGTTGGGTGGAGGAGCTTTTGATGGCCAGTGCGCCACTCGAGGCATCAAGCAGGGATGTCCGTTGTTAGGTGCCCTATATGCGATTGCAGCCAATCTATTCTTCAGGCGTCTCCTCAGAGCACAAAAACCGCTTGCAAGTCCGCTTGCGCTCGCCGACGACATCGGCACCGTCTCTCAGGATCAGGTTCGCGCGCTGCCAGTCGCACTCCGACTTTCGCGTCGAGCAGCATTGCTCACGGGATTGGAAATTAATCATGGCAAATGCTGTCTTGTGTTTGCTGTGCCATACTCCAAGCGCGACGTCGGGGCGATGTTCCGCGGCCCTGGGACTCGGGTACGACAGTTCCGACTAAGCACCTGTGGCCAGTGCCACGGTTTTACATTGGCCCGAATGGGCCCACACTGTCCTGGGAAGCTCCTGGCAACAAGTTCATCGAGGGAGTCCGGCACATCAAAGGATGTTTCTAGGGCTCTGTCAGAGCTCCATCGCCTACAATTCACTGGCCTTCTCCGTCCTCGGCTTTGTTGGCCAGCTGCATCAGGCCCCCAAGGCGCCGCTGAAAAAAGGAGAGAGAGAGAGAGAGGCTAGTATATGCTACTCCATCATTGACAACTACAATATTTTGACGGCTCTCCCCATGATGTCAATGACCCGGACACGACCATGCTCCAGAGAAAAAGTGAACATCTTCCAGAGGCATCGCGCGGCCCCATGTAGTCCAGGCCCGGCCCTACTCCCGCGTATTTGGCATTTCCTTCCAGTTGCTTTGTTTCCAAAGGCCGTTATTGTAGTTTTGAGGCCCAGGTTAGCTGCCCCCAAAGCCGCTCCATGTGTGGGAGCTGCCTTTTTTTTTGAAAAGCGTTTGCAATTCCTGGGCCACAACTTCCAGGCGCCGTCAGGGGCGCCAGGTCTGTTTGTTGGGATGCCAGGCTTGTGGGGGGGACCACATCCTGCACTACTTCGATGGCCCATGTGCCCTTGAGCCTCTCTGCCTGGTCCTTCCGCATTTAATTGCCCGTCGACTACCTCTCCTGGGCGGCCCAGAACCGCTTGCTGTTTTCAAACAGTTTTGCCTCTACCTCCCAAACCATGTACTCCACGATGCTTGTGCACGACGTAATTTTTAGCACATTCATTTCTCTCAGGTATTTGAAACGATCTGGTCTTGAATGCATTATCATTTTTACAACGCTCGAGCAAGGGCCATCTCTAAGCGAAAACCCCACATTCGAGCTCTTTTTCAACAGTGAGGCGCTCAACAGAACAATCTGGCGCGTGAAGGGGCTGCGCTATCATCATCATCATCATCATCATCATCATCATCATCATCATCATCATCGTCATCATCATCATCATCATCATCATCATCATCATCATCATCATCACCATCACCTTAATCATCATCAGCATGATCATTGCCATCATCATCACCACCACCATCATCACCAGCATTACCAGCAGCATCACCATCAGCACCATCATCATACTCATCAGCATAACCATCATCATACTCATCATCAGCATCAGCATCATCAGCGTCATCAGCGCCATCGTCATCATCATCGCCATCAGCAACAACATCAGCATCATCACCATCACCCGCTTCGTCGGCATCACCATCATCATCATCATCGGGATCAGTATCATCATCACCAGCATCATCATCATCATTCATCATCATCATCATCATCATCATCATCATCATCATCATCATCATCATCATCATCATCATCATCGCCATCATCGTCGCCGCCGGGACCATCATCACCAGCATCATCATCAACAGCAGCATCATTATCACCGTTGTCCCCCGCCCTGGATACAGAAGGGCCTCAGGAGGCCCGTCCTTTCTGATGTGTTCGCCTCCTTTGAGTTTTCATTGGCCCAAGCCCAGTCGCTGGGGACCCAGGTCCTGGAGGTTAGAACTTAATTTGAGCAGTCGCCATAGTGCCCGCTCTTCGGGAATCCTGGCATGACGCCCTTTCGGCGGGGGCCCACCTCCCTGGGCACCCGTAGCTGTTACTCCCACCTGGAGGAGGAGGAGGAGGAGGAGGAGGAGGAGGAGGAGGAGGAGGAGGAGGAGGAGGAGGAGGAGGAGGAGGAGGAGGAGGAGGTAGGGGAGCTGGAGGAGGAGGAGGAGGAGGTAGAGGAGGAGTTGGAGTTGGAGGAGGAGGAGGTAGAGGAGGAAGAGGAGGAGGAGAAGGACCAGTGTACACCCAAGAGTCATCAACGATGTTGGAATTAACCCTCCCCCCAAGCTCCCTCTTTATAGGCCCCTACAACGGTTCACTTCCATTGATGGAACTGCCTCGTTGGAAGACAACCCTTTGAAGACCCTGAAGCATGCCAAAACATTGCACTCGGGATTTCAACGCCACGGATCAACCTGACTGCTGCGTCGTGACGATCTGAAATCGTGCCAGAACTCCATGTTTGGGGATTTCAACACCGCGACCAACATTACTGCTGCACCCGCATAATCCTACTGGTACGATGATCGTGGGAACCCGTGAAATTCATGCAATTGTTTAAACGAATGTGCGCGGCGCCAAGGCGAGAGCCACATGTTGAAAAGGAACTGCCCTCAATCCGTGAAGTTCTTGCACATGTTCAAAACGAATGTGCGCGGCGCTAAGAGCCACATTTTGAAAACGACCCGCCCTCAATCCGTGACATTTTGGCATTTGATTAAACGAATGCGCGCGGCGCTCAGGCGAGAGCCATTTTGAAAATCACCCGCCCTCAACCCGTGAAACTCTTGTACATGTTTAAGTCGAATGTGCGCGGCGCTCAGGCGCGAGTCACATTTTGAAAACGGCCCGCCCTCAATCCGTGAAGCTCTTGCATCTTTGTTTGAAACAGATGTGCGCAACGCTAAGGCGCGAGCTACATTTTGAAAACGACCCGCCCTCCATCTGTGAAGCAGCTGCCACCTGTTAAAACGAATGTGCGCGGCGCTCAGGTGAGAGCCACATTTTGAGAATCACCCGCCGTCCATATGTGAAATTGTTGCCACTTTGAAAACTTCATAGTCATAAGTGGTGAGGAAGTCTCAGGCGAAACGCCCTGCACGCCCTAAAAACTGGCTTCGGGGTGCGACAGGGAGAAATTGTTTATAAGGAAAAGGAATGGAGGAGGAGGACGAGGAGGAGGAGGAGGTAGACGGGGAGGAGTTAGGGGAGGAGGAGGAGGAGGAGGAGGAGGAGGAGGAGGAGGAGGAGGAGGAGGAGTTAGAGGAGGAGTTAGAGGAGGAGGTAGAGGAGGAGGAGTTCGGGGAGGAGGAGGAGGAGGAGGAGGAGAAGGAGGAAGAAGAGGGTGAGGACAGCCTCCGGCGGCGACGAGCGGGAGAGCCCGGCCGCCGCCCGGAGAGGAGGCCCCAGCCAAGCCGCCCGCGGCCTCCGCGCCCACGAGCCCCCACGGGGCGCCGGGGCCTGGAGGGCCCGCGGCAGCGGGCTCAGCCCGGGCCCCGGCCCCGTCCTGCCGGGGGGGGGGGGCGGCCCACGTCCCAGATCGGCCAGGCTAGCCCCAGACAGGATCGCGTCGTCGAGGAGGTCCGGGCGAGAAAAAAGTTGGGGGCCGCGTGCGGCCTCGCGGGGGGCCCTCGCCGGGCCCCGGGGCCGCCAGAGAGCGACGCAGGGCGAGAAACGGGTCCCGGGGAAAGGACAGGGTCGGGACTTCAGGGGCCCCGTCTTGAACACATCCGGGCGTCGCAGGCCTGGGGCCGTAAGGGTGACTTTTCGCCGGAGTGGCCCCTTCCTGTGCCCGAGGCCGCTTGTGCACTCTCCTCGTGGCGAGTGTTCTCTCTGCGCCCGAGGCTTCTTCCCGCGTGGCTCCTCCGCAGCCGCCCTCCTCCTCCCCAGACCCCCTTGCGTGACGAAGAAAAACGCGACGGAGGGGTTTTTCGTCACTATTTTTTCAGCCTCTGGGGGCTCCCACTGGGCTCGGGGGCGTCAAAAAACGACGCAGGATGAAAAACCGGTTCCGGAGAAGGGGTCCAGACCTCTGGGGGTCGACGTTGTGAAAAAAACACGACAAGCCCCAGTCGCTGTGACCACATGCGTCCGCGCCAGCCAGTACAGCGCTTCGTAGCCCCAAACGGAGCTCCACCGAAGGGCCCAGTGGCTGTGACCACATGCGTCCGCGCCAGCCAGTAAAGCGTTTCGTGGCCCCAAACGGAGCTCCACCGAAGGCCCCAGTGGCTATGACTACATGCGTCCGCGCCACCCAGTACACCGTTCCCTGGCCCCACCCATTGGGTGCTCCACCGAAGGCCCCCGTGGCTGTGACCACATGCTTGCCCAGTACAGCGTTTCGTGGCCCCATAGGATCTCCCCCCAAGGCCCCTTTGGCTGTTACCACAGGCATCCGCGCCAACCAGTACAGCGCTTCGTGGCCCCATAGAGAGCTCCTCTAAACTCCTGCAGCTCCTTGATCTTGGGCTCGCGCTCCTTGTCGCGCATGGTGCGCCTGTCGATGCCCGTCTGCACCTTGCTAGCCTGTAGTTCGAGGATCTGCCACTGGCTCCCAAGGGGCTTGGCCGAGAGCCGTTTGGCTTGACTCTCCTTGATCTTGGCCTTGTTCTTCGCGACCAGTGCCTCCGTGCCATCGATCGCGTCGAGCTCCTTGTTGTCCTCAACAAGCTTGAGTTCTTCCCAGCGCAAGTCCTCCACGTCCACCTCCTCCATGCCCTCGTCCCCGCCCCCTGCATCCTTGGCCTGAGCCGCAGCCTGTGCTTCACGAAGCTGTTTCTCCATGGCCGTGACCTTCTTCTGCAAGGCGGTGACCTCCTTGGACTGGGCCGCGGCGCCTCCGGGGGGCCGGACCGAGCGAGAGGGCGTCCCACTGTAGGCAGGCTTCAAGTAGCATTTCTTTTTCGCCTCTCTGCACTTGTGGCAACTCTTGTTCTCGCTCCTGTTGCTGAACGGCTCGCCGCGCTTGTTGAGGCACGGCTTGCACAACCATTCAGCATCTGCTCGAGGCGCCATCCCTGATGATGATCCATGGTGGCCGTCGAGTAGGCGGGCTGCTGCGTCCAGCCGGGCGGCCAGACCAGTGGTCCGCTGGCCCTTCCAGGCCCGAAGTAGATGTCGCGCTTCTGCACGCCCCCGTCGAGCGCCACGGCGGGGCTCCTTGAGCGACGTGGCCAGAAATGGAGCGCTGGTTGCGCTCAGTGTGGGCTGGTAAAGGAATTCGCAGGCGGACCTGCACCCCAAATCCCTAAGAAAGCCACTGAGCCGAATGCAACTGGAGGTGGAGGAGGAGGAGGAGGAGGAGGAGGACGGGGAGCCTCCTCCTGCTCCTCCTGTCCCTCGTCCTCCTCCTCCGCCGCCTCCTCCTCCTCCTCGTCCTGTTCCTCCTCGTCCTCCTCCTCCTCCTCCTCCTCCTCCTCCTCCTCCTCCTCCTCCACCTCCTCCTCCTCCTCCTCCTCCTCCTCCTCCTCCTCCTCCTCCTCCTCCTCCTGCTCCTCCCCCCACGCTCCACGTCTCCCACCTGCCCGGTTCCCCAAGAGTTGACGTTGTGGGGATCCGGGCGAGGGTCAGGCGGGTCTAGGACTGGGATGAGTCGTCCCAGATTGCCCCAGAACGTTCTCCGAGCGTTTGGGAACGCTCTGAGAGCGTAAATAGGGGGCGATACATGTCGGGCTGAAGAAAGGTGTTTTTTCGTGCACTTTGCCCTAAATGGGCCCTTTGTGGCCGAAAAGGGGAATGAAAGGTGTACGTTTCTTCCCCCCCCATTGGCCACCCCAACTACAGCAGCGCCAAAGACAAAATGCAGCCTCCCAGAGGGCGATCTTGCATCATCGTTCTGCGTTGTGCCGCTCCCGTCTCCCCTCTTCCTCCTCCCCGTCCCCCTTCCCTCCTCCCTTCCCCCTTCCTTCCCCTCCCTTCAAAATCCCCCATCCCTCCCCTCTCCTCCTCCTCCTCCTCCTCCTCCTCCTCCTCCTCCTCCTCCTCCTCCTCCTCGTCCTCCTCCTCCTCCTCCTCCTCCTCCTCCTCCTCCTCCTCCTCCTCCCTCTTCTCCCTCTTCTCCCTCTTCTCCCTCCTCCTCCTTCTCCTCTCGGCTGCAATAGCTGAGGCCGCAGCTGCCCTGGGTGGAGCACCGCGCAGGATGCCGGTGAGCACAGAGGGGGAAGGCCGCCGCGCTGCCTTTCGAGGAGTTGGAGGAGGTGCCCCAGCCAGAATCATCTGTGTTCTGATACTGTGACGGTGGCGATGACTTGAGGAGTAGTGCCAGAGCGTGTCACATGGAGGAGAGGTAGAAGGAGGAGGAGGAGGAGGAGGAGGAGGAGGAGGAGGAGCAGAACGAGGAGGAATTACAGAGCGGGATCACGAGGATGGGGAGGAGGAGGAGGAGGAGGAGGAGGAGTGACAGACGAGCGGTCAGCTTCGAGCTTCGAGGAGGAGGAGGAGGAGGAGAAGAAAGACGACTTGGCAGGATTACGAGGAGGGGGAAGAGGAGGAGGGGAGAGATGATGATGATGATGATGATGATGATGATGATGATGATGATGATGATGATGATGATGATGATGATGATGATGATGATGATGATGATGATGATGATGATGATGATGATGATGATGATGATGATGATGATGATGATGATGATGATGATGATGATGATGATGATGATGCTGATGATGATGATGATGATGATGTGATGATGATGATGATGATGATGGATGATGATGATGTGGTGGTGGTGGGGTGGTGGTGGTGGGTGGTGGTGGTGTGTGTGATGATGATGATGATGATGATGATGGTGATGATGATGATGGCTGATGCTGATGATGATGATGATGATGATGATGATGCTGATGCTGATGCTGCTGATCGGTGCTGATGATGCTGATGCTGATGCTGATGGCTGATGCTGTGCTGATGCTGATGCGCTGATGCTGATGCTGATGCTGATGCTGCTGTGATGCTGATGCTGATGCTGATGTGATGCTGATGCTGATGCTGATGTGATGCTGATGCTGATGCTGAGCTGAGCTGATGCTGATGCTGATGTGATGCTGATGCTGTGCCTATGCTGATGATGATGCTGATTGCTGATGCTGATGCTGATGCTGATGCTGATGCTGATGCTGATGCTGATGCTGATGCTGATGCTGATGCTGATGTGGTGATGGTGATGGTGATGGGAGGTGAGGGTGATGGGATGTGATGTGATGGTGAGGTGATGGTGATGGTGATGGTGATGGTGGTGGTGGTGGGTGGTGATGGTGATGGTGATGGTGATGGTGATGGTGATGGTGATGATGGTGGTGATGGTGATGGTGATGGTGATGGTGATGGTGATGGTGATGGTGATGGTGATGGTGATGGTGATGGTGATGGTGATGGTGATGGTGATGGTGATGGTGATGGTGATGTGATGGTGATGATGATGGTGATGGTGATGGTGATGGTGATGGTGATGGTGATGGTGATGGTGATGGTGATGGTGATGATGATGATGATGATGATGATGATGATGATGATGATGATAATGATAATGATAATGATGATGATGATGGTGATGATGATGAGGAGGATGAGGAGGATGAGGATGAGGATGAGGATGAGGATGAGGATGAGGATGATGACCATGATGAGGATGATGATGAGGATGAAGATGAGGATGAGGAGGAGGAGGAGGAGGAGGCTGTGGGGCTGGAGAGGCAGGAGGAGGGCGAGGGGGGAGGAGAAGGACCCGTGGCCGCCTTTGCTTAAGTCCGGCCTCCCCCCCTTTTCCCTTGGCGTGGCCTGGGCCCCAGGCGGAGTGGTTCTTCTTACAGCTTGGCATCATGCATACCTTCTGCACCGCGATCGCTTTGGCGCACCCCTCACGAGGATCGTGGCCCCGTAGTGAGCTCCACCCGAAGGCCCAAGTGGCTGCGTTCGCATGGCGGCACCGGGCCCATTTGGGCACATCCCTCTGCTTACGTAGAGCGGCTCAGCCTGGGCCCCATGCAGAGCGGTTCTTCTTACAGTTTGGCCGCCTCGTGCATGCGCCATGCATGCCCCTTAGCTTACGCAAAGCGGTTCAGTATTGGTCCCATTCAGAGTGGTTGTTCTGACAGCTTGGCCTCATGCACGCCCCATGCATGTCTCCAGCTGACCGCCAGCATTGAAAAGGTAGCGTGCAATGTGGCGTTGCGGCTCGCTCATTACACGCTATCTCCCACCTCGGGGACAGCGTGCGCCGCAGAAGCGCCCTGGCAGAGGGGGATGTCGTGCACAGAAGGTGCCCTGGCGGCGGGATCGCCTCACAGGGATGGCGTGCTTTCCGGAGATCGATGTTTGCACGCTGTCTTTCGATCGCCAACCGTACGTAAAGCGGCTCAGCCTGGGCCCCACGCGGAGCGTCTCTTCTTACAGCTTGGCCTTATGCACGCCCCATGCATGCTTCACGCGTGCCCCTCAGCTCACGTAAACTGGCTCAGCCTGGGCCCCATGTCGGACGGGACTAGGACGAGGATAAATCCGTTCCCGAGCATTCCGGAATGCTCTCAGAGCGTTCTGGATCGCCCTGAGAAGGCTGCGGCGCCCAAGACATCCTCCAGAGTTGCCGGATCTTAGAGATTCTTGATTTATTTTTCTCCGATTTTATTTTCGTCCTGGCTTCGTCTTACCATGCGCGCCCCATGCTCAGTTTGGTTTTCTGCGGCAAGCCCGAGCTTGAAGACAGACAGACAGACAGATGTGACAGAAGTGCCAAACGCCGAAGCGCGCGGGCAAGCGACAGCGCACGCCGATTGCCGCTTTGCGGGAATGGCAGCCTACCAACATTCTTTCTTGAATTGCCCAAGGCTGGTGTGCAGAAGGGGGAGGGGGAGGAGGAAGAGACGACACAAATTCTGCCACAGATGTTCGCCAAGCTGCGGGCTCGCGAATGCGTTGCACTGCGGCCTCCTTTGAAGCGAGGTGCGGACCGGTCGTCTTCATTAAGCACTTTGCCCATTCCTTCCTCGGCCGCCCTACGGCCCGGGCGCAAGCGTCTGTTGCTGGTCGCAGGCATCCGTCCTGCAACGCAAGGCGCCGCAACAGATTCGAACTGCTAGCCCGACCGATGTTTCCAAGCCACAGAAGTTGTCGTCTCAGAAGCTGCGTCGTGTACACCTTAGGCGATGCTTAAGAAAACTTGAATTTTCGGCCAGGGTCTCGATTATTCTTAATGTTTCAACGTAAATCCTAAGATTTTAATAGAAATTTTGGGTTTTTAGTCAAGTTCTGAGACTATGAATTTCTTAACCCATGATTTCTTAAGCATTTCGCAAGGTGTACGGCTCTTGTGCTCGCAGCAGCACGTCTCTGTTGGGAACTCTGGAGATGTACGCGGGCGGGACGTGCAAGAGGCTGCGGAGGCACCGGGCCTGAAGACCATCTAGCTGTCGACGTTCTGCCTTGTTGAGCCAAGCCGAGTTCAGAGAATACATGACCTCACTCGTGACGAGAGATAGGACAACGTGAAGTTTGCGGGCCTGCCCGATAGCTGTGTGTGCCCACGCGCGCCTATATCTGCAAAGATATAGGCGCGGGGGTCAATGCAGACGGGGGTCAGCCAGAGCGCCAGATCTTGCAGGATCCTGCAGAGCCAGGGTCGCATTGATCCTGGCTTGGCTGCAGGATCCTGTAGGTTCCCGCAGGACTTTGCAGGATCCTGCAGGGCCTGCCTGACTCGGGTCTGGATCGACCCAGGGCCGCAGCTCCCCGACGAGCTCCCTGCAGGGCGCCCTTGGCGCGGGCGACCCCCGCCGTCGCTGCGCCCGCCCGCGCTCGCCCGTGGCCCACGGCGCGCGGCGCGAGGCCACGCGCCCACGGCTCCGATGCTCGAGGCCATTCGGCCGGGAGGAGCCTCGGCATCGCTCGGACGTGTCTATTTCTTCGTCGGCGAGGAGCATCTTGGGATCGCCTTGCGAAGCAGAAGCGCGCGACGCCGAAAAGTGCACGGGGAGTGGGCGTCCGAGCGACGGCGAGGAGCGCGACAGTGCGAAGGGCCAGCCCTTGGGGGAGGAGTCCAGGCGGGGCCGCGGGGCCTGGAGGTCGGAGGCGTCTGAGGTCCTGGCGTCTCCACTTTTCGAGCCAGCCTTTTTGTTCGGCCCCCAGGACCCTCACGGACCGATCCGGCTCGAAAGAAATCGCAGAAAGGGGGTCGCGATGTTCTACGATGATGGTGTGTTTTTCGCCACGTCGGATCTCGGAGCAGGACCGCCGCGTGCCTCGGCCGCTTTTCCCAGGCCCCCTCGCGTCGTCAAAGAATCGCGACGGGCGGGTTTCGCGCTATTTTCGGCACCCAGGGGCCACTCCCTGGATCGTCAAAAAAAAACGATGCAGGATGGAGAACCAGTCCTGGGGAAGGGGTCCAGACCTCGGGGGGCCGACGTTGCGAACAGAAATCACGACGTCGGGGGTCTGGGCTCGGCGGTGCGATCGAGATGGGTCCGGTGGTCTGGTGCACCTCGTGTGGGTACTGTGGTCTGGTGCTCCGCCCGCCCGGCCGTCCCGTTAGGGTCTTGCCCGCCCGACCTGCCCGACCCGTTTGGTAGGGTCCCGGCCCGACCCGCCCATCATGGGTGCCCGCCCGCCCGACCGTCCCAGCAGGGTCCCGCGCACCCCACCCGCCCGATAGGGTCCCGCTCGTCAGGGTCCCGACCAGCGACGACGACGACGACGACGACGACGACGACGACGACGACGACGACGACGACGACGACGACGACGATGACGGCGACGGCGACGACGACGACGGCGACGGCGACGGCGACGGCGACGGCGACGGCGACGGCGACGGCGACGGCGACGACGGTGGCGGCGGCGTCGGCGGCGGCGACAGCGGCAAGGACGACGACGACGACGACGACGACGACGACGACGACGACGACGACAACGACAATGACGACGGCAACGATGGCGAATACGCCGACCAGCGCCCCGGCGAAACCAGCCGTCTGCGAAACCAGCCACGACGAAACGAGCCCGCGGCGAAACCAGCCGCCGACGGAACTAGCCGTCGGCGACACCAACCCCGGCGAAGCTGGCCGCCGGCGAAACCGGCCCCCAGGGAAGACCAGCTTCCGGCGAAGCCAGCGCCAGCGAAACCAGAGGCCATGCCCTCGGCGGCTCCGTGGCTCCAGCGGCCCCTCCCCCGCTCGCCACCCGCAGGCCCTGCCGCTGCGCCGCAGCGCTCTGCGCCGCGCGAGGCCCGCCAGGGCGTGGGCCACGCGGCGAGGCCCGCGCGGCCGCCGCCGCCGCCTTCGAAGCCGCCGTCGGCGCCGCCGTCGATGCCGCCGCTGCTGGTGTCGTCGTCGCCGTCGGCGTCGTCACGGCCGCGGCCGCTGTCGTCTCCAGCGTCGTGGTCGTCGTCGGGTCCGTCCGAGTCTGGGCTTGTGGAGCGTCGTCGTCCGGGGGTCGGCCTGTTCTCCCGCCGCGCTGGCGCTAGGGGAGGGTGAGGGCGCCCGAAGCGGGTGGAAAGAAGCGGGATGGGAGGAGCAGGACCAGGACCAGGAGCAGGAGCAGGAGCAGGAGCAAGCAGGAACAGGAGCGGGAGCAGGAGCTCCCAATTGTAGTGTGCACCTTATATTGGCGGGCGCCGAATCACCCCTTGAACGTCGAGTTCGGCACGCTTTGATTGCCCACATCACAAACATCGGCAATCAGCTGTTTGATCTCGTGGGTCGGGGGATGTCTGTGCACGTAGCAGCCGCAATCTTCTGCCACTCTGCCATGGGCTGCCCGCAACACATGAGACGGGCGAAGTTGGGGCCGCCAGAGGTGCTGCATGTGTAGGGCGTCGCAGTCACGACTGCGTGGCTTGGGAGCGCTTCCTGAGCATGGGCTACACGCCGACGCAGGTTCTGCAGGGGTCCCTTCCTCCGAAGGAGGGTGGCCTGTCAGTGGGCCTCGTTTCGGAAAAGGGCCTACGCTGCTCTCTCTGCAGGCTGGAGGCTCGACCCTGCAGCGAGGGCGCAGAGACCTCAGGTCTTCGCGCCTTCTGCAATTCAGGAGGAACAAAAGCACACAGACACAATGAATCGTCGATTCCTCAGAGAGTATGGGAAAATGTTGGAAGTGGGGGGGAAGTCAAAAGCCCAGAAATATTGGAACATATGGGGAAACCTGTTATTTGTGCGCATTGATTTGTGTGTCCCAGGGCCCCTTCACTTCTGGACGCGCATCCACCAGAAGCATTGCACAGTATGATCCTGGAGCATGTGCACGCTACTCGCAAAGACCGACTGAGGAACACCCTGGACGCCCGGGCGCAGGCACACGTCCGATCCGCAGGGGGGCTTTTCAACCCAAGGCTCCCAAGAGCGAACGGTGACACAGTAAGCTCTTCAACCCGAGGTTCCCGAGAGCGAGCCGCAACGTCAAAAATTCTGAAACTGGAGCTCGAAATTATCATCATCCTTTCAAACCTGGGAGAAGTCCGTGGGCCTGGCGCGAGTGCCTACCTTCTTGCGCCTCTGCTGGCAGTCAGTCCGATGCCCAGAGGGGTGTGGCGCGTCGCCGCTCGCCGCCGCCTCCTTGCCACGACGGGAGCCGACATAGCGCCGCAAACGCTCGCCACGCACTGCCAGCGCCGCGTCCGGGCCGGCGTCTGCGGAAGAGCGCGGCGCGGGGCGCAGAACGAACGCCATCTTGAAATCTGCGAGAACGGAGGCGGCGCTTTGCGGGCGCGCAACGAATGGAGGGACTCTTGTGGCACTGGATTCGACAGGGCGCCGACCCTGTTGCCCAGAAGGGGCAACGCTCTGAGTGCTTTCGACGCCCTGCGGGCGAGCCGGCGGCCTCTGTCCAGCCAGCAGCGCCGGGCGGGGCTGCTCGCGAGGGGACCAGTACAGACACAATTAGTCCTCGATTCCCCAGAAAATGTTGGAAAATATGGGAAGTGGGGGGGAAGACAGAAACCCAGAAAATATAGGAAAAGATGGGGAATATTGTTATTTGTGTGTATCTATTTGTGTGTCCTGGGGCCCCTTCAATTGCATCAAGACGGCCGGCTGGTTGCGATAGACGTGGCCATCGTAAACGCCGATAGTGGCGAGATGATCCCAGAAACGCGTCCGCGAGTCGCGACGGAGTGGCGGCCGCTTCGGCGGAACGCGGAAGGACGTCTTGTTCTGTCGGGTTTCCGATCGTTCTTTTTGTCCTCGAGGGACGCGGCCAGCCCGAGAGGCGGCTCAGGGCATTTTACGCTCGCTTGCGCATCACGCAGGCAGCAATCCAGCCGCCCTCTAGCAAACCATGTCCATGCGCATGCAGACGGCGCTGGCGTGGCAGACAGACGCATGCCACAGCTCCTGGGCGGCAGGCGCTGGGTGGCTCTTTTAGCTGCCTCTTATAGGGGCGACGGGGGCAAGTAGGTCACATATAATTATTTGCGTCCGTGGATTTGGCTTAAACCCACGCCATTTCCCGTGGGATCTGTGGGAGGCGTACAAACCGCCAGGGTTTCTTCGTAATTGTCATTGTGCGCGTACTCCCCGCCCCTGTCCGCACAAGGCCGCCAAAGGGGCCTTCCTGTTCGGGGATATGTAAACACGTAGGCTGTCTTGGGGGGAGAAGGACGGATCCCACGGAGAATCCCTCGGGTTTCTTTGTGTCTCCTCTCTTCTCCCTCTCCTTCCCCGCTCATTGCCCGGGGTGGGAACGCGCGCGCATAACGGCGGTGCCTGGTGGCCCACGCCCCGCGGCTGCACTCCTCCGCCTTTTGGTTCCCTCCTGCCCCCTCCTCCCTTCTCTCCCTGCTTTCTCCTGTCGCAGCGTCAGAAGGGGGAGGGTGTGCCTTGTCGCGGGTGCCCTGGTGGAACGTCGCCCTCCACATTTGGCGCCGCGGGAATTCCCCGGATAGGCACGCCCACCGTGTATTCTTGTGTGGACATTCGGCCGACACGCTTGGTCCCAGTGGACGCCTGTCCCAAAGATGGACAAGTGCCGGGGCCGAGGATTCGAGCAAACGTGGGAACAGTAATGGAGGAGGGAGAGCGAAGCGAGGCGGAGGGGCGACGGATGAGGAGGGTGGAGCAGGGGACGACGATGAAGGGGAGGAGGCGGGGGGGGCGGGGGCGGACGGGGGAGGGCACGGAGGGCGCCGGGACGGCCGAGGCGGCCGCGAGGGGCGCGGGTGCGGTCGGGGTTGAGCGCGCGCGCGCGCGCGCCTGCGAGGCATTCATTGTTGGACGGCGTCCTCCCAGGCGACGCGGCGCCTTCGGCCCCCGCCGCCGCCGGGAGCAGCGGCAGGGCTCCGAAGTTGAGCAGCATGTTCCAAGGAGGGGGGCCACCGGGCCTCTCGGAGGGAAGTGAGCGGGAGGCGGAATGCTTTGGAGGAGGAAGAGGAAAAGGAGGAGGGAGAGGAGGAGGAGGAGGAGGAGGAGGAGGAGGGAAAGTTGGCTGATGGAGGAAGAAGGAGGAGGAGGAGGAGGAGGAGGAGCAGGAGGAGGAGGAGGAGGAGGAGGAGGACGAGGAGGACGAGGAAGACGAAGAGGATGAGCAGGACAAGGATGACGAGGAGAAGGACGAAGAGAAGGACGAGGAGGAGGACGAGGAAGAGGAGGAGGAGGAGGACGAAGAGAAGGACGAGGAGGAGGAGGACGAGGAGGAGGACGACGAAGAGGAGGACGAGGAGGAGGAGAAGAGGAGGATCTCCACAGGGTCGTCCTGGAACTGTGCATCGTGCTCGCGCGGCTCGTGGTGGACAGTGCACGTGGGGGTGAAGAGAAAGCCTCTTCGATCGAGGGAGGGAAGCACGGCGGGAGGAGGGAGGAGGCAGGATGAAAAAGGATGATGAGGACGTGGAGGAGGAGCGAGGAAGGTGAAACGGACGGTTTAAGTTCTGTCGCGGGTTGTGTTATTCATTATCATTTCTAGCACAGATCGCAGGATTATCTTCGCATTCCGTTCCTCGTTTCCGTCCTCATCCCGACCATTATCCCAGATGTTACCATACCATTGATTGTCTTAGTCTTCCTCTATTCCGACAGCCACATCCTCATTGCATGAGCAGGTATACCGCTTATGATCAATTCTAGACGCTTCGCGTATCCCCACCAGCCCGTCCAGAAACGACGCCCAGGCGAGTAGAGGGTCGTCCTGAGGGGCTTTTCGGCGTCTTGGGTGCCTCGGGGGGGCCTCTTTGGGCCGTTTGGGATCCTCTTGGGGGCCTCCTGGGGCCATCTTGGGGCCATCTTGGGGCCATCTTGGGGCCTGTTGGTGCCTCCTGGGCGCTTCTTGGGGCCATCTTGGAGGAAATCGATCAAAGAAGAGGGGAGCTTCAATTAGCGCTGCCCCCTCAGAAGGCCAAAATGGGGCCAAAACCTTAGTACAATCAATGATTTTGGCTTCCTCGGCGAGGCCGTTTTGGACGCTCTGACTGCTCCCCGCCCCCCCTGTCCAGGTCAGTGGGGAGGGGGTAGGGGGAGGGGTAAACCCCTCCCCGAAGGGGAAGAAGGAGGGGTGGAAGAGGAAACTCGTTAAACCACCGACGCCCTAAAGGGCTGGTGGGATTCATGTGTTCCGAAACCAAGCTAAGCCATGCCAGCCGAAGCAGGGCCGGGTCAGGTTGGGCGCCAGTCCGAAACAGCAGCGACATTGAAAAGATGCATGCCATACTTTCTTCTGCAGATCCAGAGTGTGGGCGGCGGCTCTTAGCCTCGACGTCGCGCAACAATCTCCAGCTCTCCAGCAGGGCATACGCCGCTTGGAGCGTGTATTCCGAGGCCGGGGGTTCTCGGCGGGTGGTGGATGTGGAAATGTTCGCCACCTCCCTTTCCCCTCCTCCTCCTCCTCCTCCTCCTCCTCCTCCTCCTCCTCCTCCTCCTCCTACTTCTCGTCCTCCTCCTCCTCCTCCGCCTCCTCCGCCTCCTCCTCCTCTTCGTCCAGCCCCCCAGGCTCAGGAGAATCCAAGGAGGGGGGGTTCATTGCACCGACAGGAGGTGCAGAGAGGTCGCTCGACTTCTCTCCCGCGCGGGGCCCCATGCTGCCAGCGGCGCAGGCACGGGCCGCCCTCCGCGCGCTCGGGTACAACCCGATGTACGCGACGGGCCATCGCCTGTCCGATATCCTCACTGCCACCCCAGCAGCCGACGCTTTGTTGCTTGCGGGGAGTCCGGAAATTTGTCGGCGAGGAGCAGGAGTATTGAGGAGGCGGGTGGAGGGCCCATGGACGTCACTTTCGGGGTCCTGCATTTCCCGCCCCCGCCCTCCAAGAGGGGACAGGCGGGGACATACTTCGGCACGGTGCAGGCTCTGAAAAACTGGTGGCGGGGCATGCTCCAAGAGCTCCCCGCACGTACCCTCCCCATGTTCTTCTCGGACCTAAACGACGGCATAGGACTCAGCCGAGTAGCGGGTTCCTGGACCAGTCCCCTGTCGGAGGCACTAAGAGAGACGAGGACGCAGGAGGCACGTCGTCGAGGAGCTGGGGAGGAGGTGCGCAAACTGTTAGATGAGCAGCACATGATCGCGCCAAGTACATTCTACCCGTATGAGCACACTATTTCTTCCTGGCAAAAGGTTATCAGCCGAGGATCAGACAGTGTGGGACCCTTCGGGAACTAGGAGCTCAATTACAGGCTGTCCGAGGGGTACCTCCACGGGACCACCTGCCCATGTGCCTGACTCTGGAATATGTCAAGGACCCCCACGAACTCCCACGCCAAGAATGCCAACGTATGTGCCCCTCCGCTCTGACGCAAGCAATAAGCAAAGGAGTGGGGGAGCTAGCTTATTTGAGGGGCATCGCGGCGGCCATTGACCTTCGTCATAGTGAACTAGTCCAGTTGACAGAGAAGGGTGCACCCGATGAGTTCTTCGAGCGGGGTTGGAAGGTATACTTTCTCGATTTGGCCGCAACCACTTTGTTCGCCCTCCTCTCGCTCCTCCCCCTGCTGATTCGGCCCACCGTCGTTCCCTTCTTCGGCTCCGCCGAGAGCTTCGGGCCCAACGTGCCGAGAGGGGGGATCTGGATGAGGTGGAGGAGGAGCTGAAGGAGCTATCAGGAAGACTGCAGAGGGAGAGGAGGAGGGCTCAGCAGGTGGAGAAGGAGGCCTTCATCGAGATGACACAGGAGGCATGGGAGGAGAGGAGGATGGCCGACGCGATGATGATTTCGAGACGAGCTGCGAGGTGCCGATTCGGAGCGAAGCAAAGGGACGGTCGTAGATTGGGACCCCACCTCTTGACAAAGCAGTGTGGTTACGTCATCAGTCCTTACCTGGTTCTGAAGGGGGCATGCTTGCACGGGAGATCTCGTGGCCACGGTGGAGGTCTGAGCGTGGGAGTCAGCCGGTGCCACCGACGTCCGCGGGGGAAGAGAATGACATATCGGAGCTGGCAGGTGAGGACTTTCGTGCTATCCGCAGTTACATGAGACGCGCAGGCAAGAGACGCGCTGTTCCCCCTGAGACTGCCCCCTTGGAGTTGTGGGACATGATCTTGAGCCCCGAGCACGGTATCCCCGAGGAGAATGCAGGGGCAGGTTTAGGTTATGAGGGGGAGGTTCCAGATTTGCAGCCCCTGAACCACTTGTTGCACCTCGGGCTGTCCCAGATTCGGCGGGCACAGATGACTCCGTTGCATTGGCGTCGTTCCAGAGGGGTGGGCCTCCCGAAGTCTTCGGACCCAGGACCGCGAGGTAGGCGACTCACACACGCCCTCCCCTCCTTCGGCAAGGCGTGGTTTGCAGAGAGGTTAATCCGGAAGTTACCAGATCAGGATCACGGATTCGCTCGTCATCGTCGTAGAGAGGATGCTATTGCGAGCACAAAGATTATAGGATATAGACTTAGGCAAGCGGGGTGGGCATATGCTACTACAATGAAGGACCTATCTAATGCATTTGGCAGTACTCGATGGGGCCGTCTAGATAAAGTAGCGTAGGAAGTTGTTCCCCACCATGATCGTGTTCTGTGTCGGCAGCGGCATCGCTTGTCAGTTGTTGAAGTTGAAACGTCCTCGGGCATATCAACTGTAAAAACTGGGGCAGGTGGAGTTATGGGGGACCCCTTCAACGCGCATGGGTTCTCAGGCGCGTTCATTGCTCCTGTCCAACAGTGGGCCGACGAGATCAGGTCCCTGCTGCCGTCCACGTGTCTTCCTGAATTGGGCTGGGTCAATCTGGCAAACAAGACCGGGGCCCACGGGGCCAGAAATCTCCGGAAAATCACCGGGGGAATCTCCGGGCCACGACAAATGTGCGACGGAATCTCCGGAAAATCTCCGGCCCCCAGAATCTCCGGCGAAATCTCCGGGGGAATCTCCGGGAAATCTCCGGGCCCCGAAAATCTCCGGGGAAATCCCCGGGGCCCCGAAAATCTTTCGGAAATCACCAGAAAATCTCTGGGAAATTTCCGGACCCCGAAAATCTCCGGGAAATCCCCGCTTTGATCGTCGGGTGGCTGTAAGTGCGGTAAGAGCGTTCATCTTACATAATCTTAGTTAAGCCATAGAACGTACACTTGTTGATCGCGCATCTCATGTGTGCATATGCAATACTTATGGTGTTTGTAAGTGTAGATGTAAGTAATATACTAAGTTAGATATCTCTGCTAAGTCGATGGGGCTGAACATATTCGTGTTTTTGCTAATCATTTGCGTATTTTTTATTCTTAACTTTTTTGAAATCCATTGAATTTCCGTTGTTGTTGTTGTTCAGTTGTTCAGGACCGAGGCGCCGCAGGTACTTGCTGTACCTCGCGGCCGCGGCGCTGCGGGCTGCGCGCATGCCCGCGGGGAGGGGGGAGGGAAGGAGGAAAATGTTTATCCATGTGTCTTCGGCCCTCCCTTATCCCCCCTTTCCTTAGGCGGCGCACCGCCTTCTCCTCCGTCGCCTCGTCCTCCGTCGGCGGTAATCCGCCTTCTCCCCCCCCCATGGCGGCAATCCGCCTTCTCCCCCTCCGTGGCGGCAAACCGCCCTTCTGGCGGCAAACCGCTTTCTCCTCCTTTGGCGGCAAACCGCCTACCCCTTCTGGCGGCAAACCGCCTTCTCCTCCTCTGGCGGCAAACCGCCTACCCCTTCTGGGGGCAAACCGCCTACTCCTCCTCTGGCGGCAAACCGCCTTCTCCTCCTCGTGGCGGGAAACCGCTTCTTCCCAACCGCCCTATCGGCGGCTTGCTTTGCCGCCTCCTTCCACCCCCTCGGCGGCAAGCCGCCCGCCCCTTTCCCCCCTCCCCTCCCTGGCCTCTCCTTGACCCACCCTCCCCCATAGCTCTCTTCTTCCCCCCCGCGCACCCTTCGGCACCCCCTCCCCCGCCCCCCCTTCGACACCCTCTCCCCCCTGCGCCCCCCCTCACCCAGGAGGAGGAGGAGGAGGAGGGAGAGGAGGAAGAG